GCTTCAGGGCTAAAGTAAGAGGGTACAAAAAAAAGTGCACAGGGTACATTCAAGTACTCAATGAGTACAATCCAAACCAACAAAAAAAAGTTAGATTTTTCAAACTTCGATGCCAACTTCACATAGCTAAATTATACCAATGAGATGAGCTGAAGTGAAACGACGTCAGTCGATTTCTACAAACACGGGATCATTGATAAAATAGATACCCGAAGAGGAGCCAGAAAATCCGTGAAAATTGAAATTGAATTTGCGTTTGCTCACATTTTGCGAGGATGTACGAAGGATAAACGAAACTAGACATAGGCGTAGCCGATTCGTGAGTCGACGGCACCAATCAAATCTGTCGCAAGACCGCGCCTGGAATCGACCCGATAGACGAGATTCCATTGGAGTAAGTGAGACAGAAACGTACAAACACAGTTGCACTCCAACAAGACTGAACAATAGATCTCCAACCCCATACCCAGAATGCCAACCCACCACCAGTCAGGGTATACAAACTTGCAGCAACGTGGACAACGTTAGTTTATGATTCCATTATACCTAGCCAGGGCATTCGAATTCTCTGATACATACGTTGAACATTTCCATCCAACCAGCCACGTTGCAACGATGAAAACCAATCACCCATATACCTCCAGCGGAATCAGTCTGAACTCATCCTGAAACTCCTAGTTTGTCCCCAGTTGTTTGTCCCACTTGAAAATTGACCATAAACTTTTTGTCCCCCGTGTGCACTTCCGTTCATGCAGAATAATCGAAAATCAGCTCAATATTGCCGTTGAAATGGAGGGGTCGTCAATCGTCTGGATGAGAGCCATTCAACGATCTCGTTGAAAATCCCACAATGGACTAATTTAAATTGACAAAAAAAATTGACATCATACTGGTTGGCGTACAGCATGTATATCGCTGTATAGTTACAGTGAATCAATCACTGGGGATTCTCAAAAGGTATCTTGAAAGAGCCGAAAAAAGATAAAAAAAACAAGTCAAGGAGAATGAAAGGGAGCAGAAAAGAGAATCTGATTAATGTCCCTCGACTTCTGAGCTATACCCAACTCTCCATTGAGCAGTGTAAGTTTCACATAAGGAGCCACAGTGGCAGATGAATGGAATCTCCCACATATACCGGGCTATCTTCTCCATTGTCAATTTCTCCAACTGCGGTATCTACTCTCTCGACTATCACGCAGGTTTATTTAGTATCAAAAGACGTCTACGACGCTTGAAATGTCATGAAAAGTCGATGCTGGGTGCGTTCAAAGACGATGAAGATATAGTGCATCAAAAGCACACACTGGTATGGAGACTCTTGAATAAGGTACCTTTGAGCTAAATTTACGCTCAATGCAAGTTAATAGCATTTTCATAACTCACTCACCCTCATACAAAATCCAATTACCTCCAAGTTTTCATTGAATTTTCGAGTTAACCGTGAGTTATATATTTCCAATGTTTGAGTACTGACAGTAATGACTCAAGTGAGCTTTCGAGAGAAAAAAAAGTTCGGAAAATCTATACGAATTAGCATCGAACCTTCATTCATTGTGAATACACTACACTTTCATGTTGTTGCAAATGTTTGCTTCTCTGACGACTCGGTTATAGTCAAATTAACCATAAAAATTCTACCGAGTGCAAGTGCAAGTCATGCGAATGATGTGAGTTTAATGTCGTCATGATGAAGGGTACACGTGGTGTTGAGTGACACAGGGGAAAACTTTACACACTTCACTTGTTTCAACTTCGACTCTGTATAATACCTCTTGTAATTCGATTAAAGTCAGCTTCGCCAAGTGGATAGACATCAGGTGCACCAAACAAAGGATAACAAGGCAAAAGCCCCCCGAAAAAAAAAAGAAACAAGTAAAAAAAAAAGTCAGCTCAGACGCGGAAATAAAAGAGACAAGGAGATAAGGTAATAAAACGGAATGATATGAATTGAAAGTGAGTTGCTGCTGTTCGTGTCGCTCAAGGTAATGAAATGTGACGGTGAAACACAAGTGTGAGGAAATATTTACCATGGGTTACTGCCTCGTAAAAACGTCAGCAGTAAAAAATATGAAATTCCTTATTGGAAATAACGTAAACTCAAAAATCGTCAATATCCTCAATATCCTGTACACAAAGGGGATAAAGAAAGTTGAAAAGAAAAAAAAAACCAAAAATAAAACTCATCGGTGTAACATTGTCCCTCAAACGCTTTTGGCTTCCCTCGGTCACGGGTAGAAAAAAAATTAACAGCCAGAGGACACGTTCCAATTGTTTCGTTTTACTCCTCGTTTTATTTTTTCTCTCCCTTGAAGTGGTTTTTCAGAAGATTGGTATCAAACAAAAACACTGGTGAGCCAAACGTGGTGGATGCGGGCTACGATAGAAGTGACATGGCCTTGGTTTTGTTCATTTTAAGTTTTTTTTTCTTCACACTCGATATAATCCAGGAAAAGTGAGCCGAGACCCAAAGAAAGGGAAAAACCTTGACGTCATTGTTGCCAATCGCCAGCGAGACAAAGAGCGGGTAGAAAAAAGAAAACGAGAATATTGGTCCTCCAGATATCAGATATCGAGACAAAAAGCTCGAAATATTAATTTCAATGAAATAAAAAGTAGATTAAAAGGTGCCAAATTGAAAAATAAAATTGTCTCTTCCCGATGATATTTCGATAAAAGTGACAACAGTAACAAAAAATTGCACTTGGGAGGGTGCAGTGTTAACGTGAAAAACAATGATTTATCATTCTCAATGAAACCCACGAATGGGAAGATCATTCTAATTTCCGGTGCTCTATCCTCCCTCTCGCTGGGGATACGATTATACAGCGAGGGGATTTTTTTTCTGCTGTAATCCGGCAAGTACACAGTCATACACCTGGGAATAAACCCGGACCCTAACGGTTGTTTCGCTGAGTGAGAGGAGAGAGAGAGAGAAAAAAAAAGATATAATCCAGACAGTGAAAAACTGAGAGAGGAAGCGAGAACGAACGAAATTCAAAGTCGCACGAAGGCGGAATGTAATGAGGACTGTTTCTTTGTAGTCTGTAAAAGGCTGGGAGCCGGGTGTGGGCGGTCGAGAAGAAAGTTATGACCCCTCAAGGTCTTTATTACGCGAATAATTCCTATCTCGCCTATTCTTCGAACGTGTGAAAGGTCCATGTCCCTACTTCTGTGGAAAAGTCATTCCTCCCGGTGCTGCGACAAGATGCGTCGACGGTCGGCCATGGTTGAACCGACATTCCAAAAATCGTCCCGGAACGATGCTATAATCCCCAGATTGATCCCCAATGAAAAATCAAAGAGACGAGTAAACCTTGTAAACGAGTAACATTTGTGGAGCATCGGCGGAATGCTGGCGAAACGCTGGCGTAGTGCTGCGACAATTTCCAAAGCTTTACCCATCGCTCTAACCTCATTGTCGGCTATCGAAATCCTGGAGACTCGATAAATCGATCCGATAAATCGATCCGATAAATATTTCATATCGGTACCGATAACACATCGATGTAACACGGCTTATTCGAATCATGAAGACAAATAGCTCGTTGGAGTTGGCGCACCTTTGATTCTCCCCGAGTTTGTATCGAACTAGTGGAGTTTAACCGGTAGAATGGTAAAAACCGGTTTTCAGCGAGAGTCTCTCGACGGGGCAAGTTTTATAATAAGATTCCTCAAACGCCTCTCAACGCAACCCAACAAACCCTCGGTCGGAAAAACCCATCGAGAGGGAGCAGGAAGGATACCCCATTGCTCTTATCGGACGTAACAGGGACAGTAAAAAGTGGCGATGTGTATACATCCCTGAAGAAATTTATCCATGTATTTGTGCGGAAGGGACTCTGGCAAAGGGGGCAATACACTGACGTTTTCATAAAGAACAGTATACACCGGCATTGCGTGTTACTAACGTAACACGAAACGCGCCTTCACGCGATTCTGCATTTTCTCTACAAGGCCTTTTTGCATTATTGGATGTGAATATTTGTGAAGCCCAGATAGAGACAAAGGGACAGAGCAGGATGGAGAGAAAAAAATAATGCTGAGCATATCTATTCATGATATGTTTTTGCCATTATCCCCTCTTGGTAACGTGACATTTTTGAGTTACTTCTAGTACCCGTCACCCTGGGAAACTTAATGTACGCAAAAAAATCGAGTCACGCCAGTGGAATAATTGTCGCCAGGGGGTGGTATGCTAATTTCTACCATGTTAGGAGCACGAGTAAGACTCAGTTGCATGTATTCTACACCAGATGAAAACTTGTCGGCTGTAAATTCGAATTCTAAATAATCGACCGGCGCATGCGTGATATCTCCTATTTTGGCGGGCAGATGCCTATTTATTCCTATTTTTTATTTTATCTCCTAGAGCACTACGCAATCCTCGTGGTGATTTCAATTCCGAAAATTGTCAAGATTTAATTAAAAAAAAAAGATTTAAGCCATATCTCAATTTTTTAACTCATGAATTGCTATGTTATTTTGAGAGAGAAATTTTGTGTCTCGAAAATTGCGAAACTGTTGGCGTACTTCAGAGGAAAAAAGAGAGAGAGAAAAAAAATTGAGGGATCAAATGTTTATACACATTCACGTGTCTGGCATGCATGTAGCAATAACCAGACCGCGACGTGCACCACATGTACTGCAATTGGAGCAGGCGAAATGCACCATAAGGGATACCTGTGCATTGAGGCTATACTACCCTGGCAACCCAGCGCCAAGTTATAAAACTTTTTTACTGTCTCTCTTTTTCTGTGCATCGTCCCCCCCAGTTCGCCATAAACACTGGTACGTTACCACATAAAAGGCGATGTTATTTTCGCCCCTTCATAATCTCCCCCAGAACACCCGCGAAAATGCACGAACTCAGAGTGCGAAACCTCCTCCACAAACTCCTTAATTAATAAATTAAATATTCAAAAAAATTCAACTCACCCAGAATAAAACGTTAAATCCAAAGATCACGTACTTCAGGCAGCAGCTCACTTCACTAGTATCCCTTCTGTACTTCCTAGCTGGCATGATTACGACACATTTGTCCTTAATTTACACTGAGGAACGATATTTCGCGCCCTCCGAAATTGAACGCGCACATGTGCACTCCGAATTATTCACTAGAACTGGTGTAAACACCGGAATAATATCAATGAAATTAAAAATTGAAAACGTAAACAAACCGATAACACACAAATATTCACTGTGAACGAGAGAACTAAAAATCTCTAACTAAAAATCCCGAATTTCACGTTGGATGCATGAGTGAAAATTACTATCCAACCGATTTATGAGATTATGGTGAAAAGGGGTGGGCAGTAGTCGTCTTTGGCCGATCAGCTGATCGTTGTAATGGCCGATACAACAATTACGACTACTGCCATTGTCACGTTCCGGCGGCACACTGGCTTCGTTGGCGCCGCGATCAACGAGACTGAGCGGGTCAGACTATCTTATCCCCTTCCACTCCTCCGACGCCAACCCTCAAACCTGCGCGACCTTCTCCCCACTCCGCCCTGTACTCTCTCCCTCTCTCGCCCCTTTCCACCATCCGCAATCGCCCTCCCCCCTACTTCTTCCCTCACTCTCGTCGCTCCTCACACCCCTCCTCGATCCTTTCATGTCACCTCCTGTCCTTTTCTCTCCTTTTCTCTCCTTTTCTCTCCTTTTCTCTCCTTTTCTCTCCTTTTCTCTCCTTTTCTCTCCTTTCCTGTTCTTTCCTGTTCGTTCCTGTTTGTTCCTGTCCTAGTCGATTCTATTTTGTCTAATGCTGTTCTATTCTGTCCTTTCACGACCTCTCTTTACCTCTCTTCAAATACTTTCCACCTCTCTTCACCCCTCTTCAAATACGTTCCACCTCTCTCTCACTACCCTTCCCCAACTGCTGCGCTATTCTACCCTCACCAACTCACCCTCAACCCTCGCGTAGTCTTCGTCGTTCACCCGCGCCATTTGCACACTACCCGTTTCTCTCGTCCCAACAGACACAACTCCTTTGACACGCTCCCGTGGCAGCAGCGTGCGACAACCTGATGCCTTTGCGCACGCGCTTTAGAGAACTACCCTTATGGATGTCAAATAGTCGCACGCTTCTTTGTTTTTGTTTTTTTTTTTTTTGGAGGGATTGAACGAAGGGGCATATTGAAAATGCTTTGAAGGGCTTGAAACAATTCACTCTGGGGCTCTTCGGGGTGACGACTAGTGAGTCGTGTGGAAAAGATGGGTTAAACAACAAATTATAATGGGTGAATAAATATTTGAAATTATATGATTTTTTGAGAGAACTTTGTGATGAGGAGAATGGATTGAGGAAAGCGGATGAGTTGGGCAATTGTTAGAAACGGATTTTCAACGGTTTATGATTCTTCACGAAATACATTGTATTGTCCAGGGTTCAGATCGTCACGTGAATGTGATCACCAAGGTAAGCGGAATTGTAATTGCAGGGGAAGCTCTAAGTGGGTCAAAGTTATATTCATTTGAGATTAGTTGAGACAATGAGGAATTCACGAGGTTTTTTTAAAATTTCAATTCGAAGGAAACGCGGGATGTTGCATCAATCCCCTCGAATTCCAATCCCACGAATTCTCTCATCATGCCTTTACAATTATTGCATTATATTAATTTCCATTTTAATCACAAATGAATTATTGACCGAAATTTTCATTTTCAATTTTTGGGGGGCACTATAATAAATAATTTCCATTCGAAAAAAAAATAAAATTAGAATATGCAATTCCTGCACATCATTATTGAAATTGAATCCCCCCACCCCCATTTTTTTCTCTGTTTGATTCTTTTTTCTGCTGTCATTCATTTGAAAATTATGTACGCAATTTTCTCTCTGAACAGCAGTGTGTATAATTACGATCCAAAGATAGTAAAGTTTTTAGAGAAATATATTTCCATGCTGATAACTTATCATTTGAGTTATATTCGTCTGACTAGGCTGCAACTGAACCTACTATTCTAACCTATGCATCGAAGTCTTGAGGATTGTCTGTTTTTAAATGTCGGTGTAAAATATTTAAACATAAAATACACGTGATTTCCTCTCATATTGACAAATAAATAACCAATGAGAATGACGTCACTGCTACAAAATGTAAGCCCTTTAATTACCTAAATCTGCATGCGAATAATAAATCCAAACATTGTGAATCTTCTGAATAAAATATGAGGATATGTGAATTTAATAATATTTAGGGTCTTCGAACGCTGCAACAGCAGTCCTGGCAAAGGTGTTTCCACATATCAGCAATTGCAAGCAAAAATAATCGGTCAGGTCGTCACAGGCCATCCCTGAAACACAACAAACCCCTGACTTACGAGATGGCGATGACCCCTGAATACTTGGCTCACAGAAAGTCATGGAATTCCTTCAATACCTGTGAGTAATCCATTAAAACCACCACGGAACCCAAAATATATAGCATTTTATTTAAAATTTTCATTCTATTTTCATTCACGTCTTCCAATTGATTCTTAAATGAAAAAATATTTCACCAGCAAATATTCAGGATGGCAACAGACCCTCTGAGACCGCAATAGAAGACATGTTCATCCGTCGTTTTATGACAGGAACATGGCACAACATTTTCCTCTCGGAAATAATAATAAAACGTCAGCACAACATAATCAGAATAGGAGGTATAATAAAACAGAATCTGGCACCGGGGAAATTTTATTTCCTGATCGGTTACACCCAAGAGCTCCTCAGCTACTGGCTCCAGTGTCCCGTCAAAATAGAGCTCCAATCAGTGGTTGACAGAGAAGCTGTCATTTACAAATACATATAATCCTCCTGTATCGATAATTAAACAATTAAATAGCCTTAATACTGGTAAATAATGAAAAATGAGTTTTTTTTATTCATCATCATTTTTATTAATCATTACACTTGTTCATGATGAAAACGTAGCCCATATACATTATTGCATTTTTCTCGTAGACTAAAAAAAAATCACAATTTCTTTTCAATTTTGCTTGATACGGTGGACCGATTGGGACAGATTTAGGTACAATTTTAACGTGCTGATTAAAAAAAATTATCCAGACTGTTGATTTATATTCTACTAGATACACCCTTCTTCGTAATATGCCTTTACAACTCACAATTCATTTATCTCTTCATTTTTTCCTATCTTAATACTTTACCAGGTCTCGCAAAGCTACCTATTTGTACTCTTGCACTTGAATTATGCGAGTATTATCTCATTTCAGTTTTTATCTCTGATTTTCTCGTGTTGAACGGAGGAGATGATTAATTTTCACTTCTATTTGCTATTGATAGTCCATAAATATTGATGTCACGTCACATGATTATAAAAAATATGAAACTAATATTAAAACTCGCATGTTTTCGGTTTTCAATTATTGCTGTTCTCTTCGGTTGAACAGAAACTAGGATTACAATAATGGTAATTCTGACTAAATGCTCTGGCGATTTATCACTGCAGCGAAAAATTAAAATGCGTCCATAATCTTATAATTAGATAATTCAGAAACTGGTACGCGATCGGGAAGGATGCATCCTGTATTGTGAATTAATATCCATTTTTTTTATCCAATGAATTTTGAGATTTGGAGTGTGACTGACCCAGGAGTGATAAATTGTCGTGTTTTCTTTCGACTAAATTGTGCACAAGTAACTCTCGGATTTCCCAATTAGCTACCGCGAGACCCGATTAATTCGATAAATCATGATTTTTTTTCTTCGAAATTCTTCGTTATTCCAAATGCGGAAACGGGTGTAGTCAGCAGTGAACTGATGGACAGGGATGCATCGAGCTTTCTTCAAAGACATTTATTCACTTTGAACTCAAATCGATTCATCTCCTCCCATAAATTCACTATTGCAACCTATTTTAATCTATTTTAAGCAGCTACGTTTACTCAAATATGTGGCAGACATTTTCACCATCATATATGATACATTTCATTTCATACCTACTATTCCTTCGTTCCTTTTCAATTAATCTTAATGTCGTGTTCTTAAAAAAAACGAGAAAAAAAAATGCATTTATCCAGAGAAAATTAGTGCATGAAATTCCCCCCTCTCAAAAAAATATCCAAATTAATTAAATGGATCGTACCATGAATATCAATAGCTCGACGTTAATTCCCCCAAATTTTTAAATTCTAATTATAGTTCTCATGGTCAAGATAACGATACTTCGCCGTCTAAGGAAAAATGACAATCTAATCAGAGAAACGAGAAAATAAAAATTGTCAACTCAATTTTTCTTCATTCATATCCTAATATTATCGAATAAGTGATACCAAATTCGAGTGCGTGCATGCAATAATTATTACCATCGTATATTAATCATAAATTCGCAATGAGAAAGAAAAAAAAAATATGTAAGGAATGGGATGTTCGTCAAAATACTCACAAATCGACATTATTTACTGGCATATAACGTAAGAATGATTTGGAGAAACATGACTTCTTCATTACTTTGTTGTCGCAGTTAGACAATACATGATGCATCTTGTCAAATTAGGCCCGAGATCATTTATAATCTATAGTTATGATATAATCTTAATTGTTTTTTTTTTAATTTCTCTTATGAATGGAAATTCAGCAGTGAATTGTTTTTAATTATCTCAACGACCTAAAATCACATGTAAAATGATTTGTTCTGGAGATAATTTTACATTCACCCATTAACCCCTGAATTTAGCTGAAAAAATTGGAAAAAAAATATCCCCAACAAACCAATATACCAATACAGAATGCGAGACGCTGTTTTGTTCAATTAAACCTACAAATTACCTATTTATACAACATTCACTACACTTATGTATGACCTGGGGCAGTCAATCAATTCACCACTTGTTTACCTCAGTGGCCTCCAATTATCATCTAAAATTCGTATCCTTTTTACAAATTCCAAACTCATTGAATTCCTAAATACATATGTATAATTTCATTGAATCATCGATTAAAATTCCTCAGAAATCGAAATTCATGATTTTTAAAATGTAACGTAGATTTCAAAATTAATTCCGATCCCTTGCTTCTTCCAAAATAATTCTCACTTCAATGGTCTAATTACTTTTGTACAAATCGAATAAACTTTAACCACCGTATCAACAAGTGGCGAATTACTCACACGTATATGTAATAACTATACTAGAAATGCAAACTGATAGGTTTATACTCATGAAGTGAATGTTTTAAAAGAAAAAAATAATAATTGAGAAAAATAATTTTTTCCAGAGATGGATACTACAATTACGTTGAAACATTACAATTACCATACTTACAATTACACTCGTCTACAATATTATCTATTTCTCTTATTTAACATTATCATTATCAATATACGTGGCCAATAAGAACAGTTTTGTACTTGCATTGAAATTGTATTTTTTTTTTAAGTCAACTCCAATCACTTCGCACAGCCCAGTATAGCGTGTATGTTTTCATTTTTTTTCTTTTTAAATTATTTTCTCTTTTTCTCTTTTTTTTTCTTGGTTTTAGTTTTGTTTAAAAATACAATTTTTCATGGATGGCAGCATTCTTATCAAAAAAGTTGGCTTTGGAGAATGTTGTAATGACATTTAGGAAGAGGTCAAAGATTTTATTTCATTTTCCTTTCAATGGATTTTCCTTTTCTCTAGTAGATGCTAAGTTCATTAATAAATATGTGAAATTGTTCCAATTGTTAATCTCAATATCACAGAGGCTTGATCGGAATATTCTCATTTTTTTTTCATATATTTTCATTATTTCATTTCATTCGTTTCATTAGTTTCATAGGAAAATAGGTATCTACACGTTAACTTCGTGAATCGTAGATGATATTCCATATTAAGGACTTAAAACTCCATAAAAATGCAATACACTATACATGGGCTAAACGCATTACAACACGACTTCCGTCACCTGGTCATATATGAATGAGTGTGAAATCGCTATCTGTCGGTTTTTTTTAATTAAATATTTTATCTTACTCTTTCCTTGTCGTTTTCAATGTGCGGTAATATGGAGTATTGAGTCATTTCGCTGTGTAAGTATTTTGCGAGTTTTATTGCCAGAGCCAGAATGTTGTTGGAGTGATGAGGGGGTTGCTGAGATATTTTTATCGTTTCCGTTCGTTTCCGTCTCTTTCATTACAATAAGTCGCTAGTTTGTTTTTGCTTAATCATTTCACTTATTGCTTATTGTTTGGGCCTAGAACGTAGCGGCTGCTACCTGCGGGAGATTAATCCATTACTAGTCCCCACTATTGGATTCATTTCCAATTCGACTAATAATGGAAAGTGGTCTGAGGAAAATAAAAATTATTATTAATTTGCATTCGATTACTTTTATTTTTTACTTTTATGATTTACCTGATGGTATATGAGGATGAGGGCATCCAACAACTTTGTGTTCCCTAAACCAGTCAGCACTCAGGGGGCCCAGTAGTCCCAGTGGGACCATGCTTTGTTTTGAGTAGAATATGTAGTCAATTATTCCTTTGAAGTCAAATCTGGGAAGAAAATTAAAATGTCACGTTATCAATTAATTCGCCTTCATCGATTGCGAGTGATTGAGGAATAATTCTCACGTGTAATTCGTATACGGCATGATGTCTTCACTGTAAGCGGAGGCAAGTTTGAATGAGTGAATGAATTCGTTGGGTTTGTCACATCCTGATATTTTTTGCAGGCAAGATTTATACCCCAGTTCTTTGAAGTCACGGTGATCAGAAGCAACACGTCCAGATGTCAAAAATTCTATTACACCTGTGGGTGGAAATAAAAAATCGGATCAGAGAGAATTTTTATTATCAATTAATTAATTAATTTTGTAAGATGTTCGGATTGCAGGAGTACCGGAGTCAGGTAGTGAGTTGAAATCTCCACAAAGCAGCAATTGAACATTGGAAGAGTCAGGTTTGTGCCCTGGTCTGAAGGACTGACCGGCCTGATCGAGGATTGACCGAAGCTCATTGCTCAGCATCATTGTTTGAATCAATTTAACATCACAGAACTCTGGATCCCAGTGGATGTGTGCCGTGCACACGAGAATTGGCTGTTGGATCTGGGCGGGATCAGTGGGCAGTCCTAAAATCGCCGAGGAAATTTTGTCAATTAATTTTCACCCCATGAAAACAAAAAAAAATATTCCATCTCGCTCAATTCATTGAAAAAATATAATTTTCATGACTTACACCAAGGGATATTTATTTTATTTTAATATTTTTTTCATTTCTGAAGGTTTTACAATAATATAGAAGACCAGAATTATATTCCAATAAATTTATTTACAATACAAATCGTAATTACAATCTCTTACAAATAAAAATGATAATCAGACCGGACGAAAAATCGTAAGTCGCATTCAGAATATAACGATCAGAGTGAATACACCATACAATAGGAGACATGGATAAGCAATGAGTAATCGTTGTTTCTCCTCCCCGGACATGGCAGAAAATAATCTAGAAGCAGAGAGAGTGGCCCAGGCAACAGCGAGAGCACCGACAGCCATCCCCAAGGGTCCCTTAAGGGTGGTGAAGATGCTGATTCCAGCGAGTCCAACGACAGGCAATAAACAATACCCAAGAACCGAGGCAACAGATCCGAGAGTAATATTCCCAGTGCTGCTCATGAGAGACTGAAGGATGTACATGAGTATGCAGGAGGTCACAGCCAGCCCATAAACATACCCAAAATGGGCTTTGGATCCAGCGAGCAGGAGAAAAGCAGCGAGGACGAGGCAGAATGCCACTGGTCCCGCGAGATCAGCATCCTGGAGAAGATAAGTAGCATCATCAATCTGTCCCCTGCGGTGGAAAGGATTCAAAACCGCCAAGGTCTTCTGGATGATCCTGTCTGGATCGATTCCAAGCTCCTCCAGGAGTGGAGGCTCATCCTCCTCCTCTCCAAATCCAGCAGCTAAAATAATCAAATCCTGTTGATGGATTTTGCTCTCACACTGTTTATCAGCTCCGAATTATTTAACACTCAGTGCAGGGGTAAATTAATTTACCTTTTCCGTAGTCGTCAGATGCATACGATATCTCCCCCCCGTAGTGGCCCTGCGTCGGGTCCAGGTAGCTCTTCTGGGAATATGCATAATCCGTACCCTGATCATCTCCGTAGGATTGAAAGTCGAATTGTGGGTTAGGTTGGCCAAACCCAGCGGGTTCAAAGTTATATTGGCCTTGGGGTGGTTGGCCCCAGTAATTGTCCTGACCGGTGTAACCGGACATTTGTTTGTACAATAATTATCACTATTAATCAACGCTGTTTACGTTTATTAACAATTTTTGTGGACTCGAGACGTTTTGTTGACAGCACGACGGAAATGACGAACTTGCCGATCTGTTTTATCAAGTGGTGCACAAGCTTTGGGATACGATTACGAGAGGCGGTGTTGTACGAGCGCCGCCTCAGGGCGCGATTTTCAAAGCTGAAGAAATCAATTTTAAATGACAAACAACAGTTGATTACTGCAATTTGTATATGGAATGGTTGATTGATCGGAGAATAATTTGATTCATGGATAAATAAATGAATTTTTACAGCATGCTCTTTCAATTCATCGCTGGTTGATTAATTGTGGGCAAGTGGCTCTTCAGGAAGCAACGGAAGTTTGTGGGGGAGCACAAACGTGAATAAATCACCGTTGAATTAGCCTAGGTAAACCCACGGGTGTCCCGGGTACCCATAACCGGTCGTAGAAGCCTCTCCTTGAACTCGTAAATTATTTGAGGGAATCAATATCAGAAGAGTGGGCTTTCGCGAGAGAGCTCTTATCGCTCGTGACGCTTGAACGGTCACCAACATCTCTCTTCCAGTAACCTTCTTATTTTCTACCATTTCGTTCATTTTATTATACCCTTTTTATCCCTCCCCTGGAAAAGGAGAATCAGCTATCCGAGGGTTGGCCAGAGTGACATTGAATGGAGAAGCGTTTGAGATTTGATTTTCGAGTGTTCAAATTAATAACGGTTCGGGGATTTTTCCCCTCGAGTAGGTCTTTGGAGATGTTGACATCAGTCACATTCCCTCCGATAAAACTCGAGCGAATGGCCAGTGAAGATGGGACATGTATAAAAAATATTCAAGTTTCAAGCGGAGTGCGAAAACTCAATTGTCGCTTTAAAAATTTCAGAAATATCCGGGATTCCCTCGACATGGATTCTGCAATAATGATCAACATCAAAGGATGCCATCGATCTCTCCCTCGTGACAACCCCAGAGCATCAACTCCATTCGCCCTGAGGATATCGATTAATCCAGATAATTCGACTTAGTTTAATACCTGGACACAGCAATTTCACAGGTATAATCCTCGATGCTAACTGGCCATTCGGCCTTGCGCAATTCCATGAAAACCAAGTACAGATAATTGTAGGTGAAGTAGGTGGAGGGTACCACATGCTCACGATCGTATTTCAGACGACTTATTAATCGTCAAGGTTTACCAGATGCATGAGCATACACGTACATAAAACTGGCAGGAGGTCTCACGTTACTATGCAACGAAAATTTATTACGAGCAACGTTATGACTCAGTGCACTGTTGGCCATTCATGTATTATTCTTTCATTACAAAATCTACTTTTTACTCTTTACTCGGTATTCTGGCATTGCGTGCCAATGATTAAGAGTTGCATCCACCATCAATTATGTACAGGGATCACGCGTTAATTGGCTTGAATTACAGAAATGCGTATACACGAAGAGTCGTTAACCATTTGTAGTGGGAAATTATTGCCAGAGAGGTTGAAAATACATTGAGGGTAAAAATCTATCATGAGCTAAATTCCCGTGATCATTATCTCCTTCACTTTCACTCCTCCTGGATTGGTTGGCCTGTATTTTTTTTTTGTTTTTCATCTCGAAGATGAATTTCAACCTTGGCCGCTTGATTCGCTTCATTACGGATAAATGGAGCACTGGGGGAGAATGATGCGCGATTATAGAGCAGTTCAGACTCATTTTCAAGTTTTATGATTCTCAATAATACTCCGGGGGCTTCCTCAATAACCGTGAGATCGAGGTGAAATTAATTGTGGAAGTGAGTTGAGGTATTCCGAGTGGAGTTGAAAAAAAATTTGTGCAAACACCTTAAACTCCCAGTCCCTCTCGTACAAGTTTATTCAAAGGATTTCTTCTTGCACTTTTATCACGTCGGATTGGGGGAAGGTAGAAAGCCATTCAACTTTCCTCATTCTCCACTCTCCGTATTTCTCCCTGTCTCTGTCAGTGTCAATAAAAAAGTTCCTTTGTTGCCGTACCATCAGAGGATGCACTCGAAAAGACCGACAGAAAAACACTCTAATGAGTGCTTAAAGAGCGATAAATTTGCGATTCGATTTTCCCTTTTCTTTGAATTGTATTTTTCCCTCCATCCGAGGTACAAAAATACAATTCCGACGGGCAATGAAATATTTTATTACCCCTCTTATTCGAGAAACTTTAGTACTCACCATTATCCCATGCAGCCTCAGTGGTTCTTAAAAGTGCTGCTAATCCGATATTATCCTTTGGCATTACTCGATTCAACATGTGATCCGAGCCCTCGGCATTGGCCATCGCGAGTTGATTGAATTCCACCAAATGCTCCTTTATCAACGTAAATCTGAAAATAATTGGGATCAAATGATATTCGTAGTGTACGTCACGTTCACAATGAGCTCAGAATATCTCGCTTCAATTTTTATTTTCCTTTCAGAATTTCAAAGGACTCTATTCGGAACCTGGGGAAATCCTCGGGGAGATGTACAGGTACTCCCGAAAAGTATTCGCCAAGTAGTTTGCCAGGGTGGAGCTCAAAAGTGCAGAGGCATATCACGTACCACGAGGTAGAATACAATCTCGTTTACCCATGTGTCTCACGTAAGTCCAAAAGTACCTCTCTCAGTCTCTGATTCTAGGGTATAGGAGATATTATCCTCTTTACTATTTAACTTGGCTATCACAAGTTTGATTTTAGAAAGAACAACATCATTTTATTCATCACTTCCCCCGAATTCCCACGTAAATTCCAATTTCGGCAATCCCCCGACCCCAATCAATGAATTTCACACAAAAACGATAAATTTAGCCCATCAATTAATGAAATTAAATAATTCCCCGTCGAAAAAATGTGTTCACCTGTAATTTTTCCGTGGAACCCCCGGAAAAGTGGCCAAATTGTCCGATAAATTAAAGGAAACCCCCCACCCACTGGGAATTAACTCATTTTTAACCGATAAATCGAGCGAAATGAAATAGGAAACTTGAGCAATAATTCAACGGTTGTGAGCGGAGTGAGGTAGAGGGTCGATAGTCAGGTCGATATATTCAGTACTCCAGCATTTAATAGCGGTTCGGTACCCAACTCAAGATATAAACGAACCGTTACAGTATAGTGCAAAATCCCCGAAGAGAGGAGAGCCATCAGGGGAAGGGCAAATACTTAAATAGTAACCAGCACCAAGGTAGAAGCAAGATTGCATATGCTTGGCTATACATCACCATAATGGCCCTCACTCTCTCCAACTATACAGTGGACACGATAACCCGGCGGGCAATGCCTCTCACTCCATCTCCCTCTATCCAACAACTAACAAATATCGCAAACTGGACTTGAACTGCATCGTGATATTGAAAATAAATGCGAGACGCCGATGTAAATAGTGAAATACCAATACGAGTGATATTGTTGAACATTGGTGGAGTGATAAAGTATATAATGGCTGGGTTAATGTGAGTGCTTGGAGGCCCTGAAGAGGCTCTGAAGAGGCTCGCGGTGAATCGGAGGAGTTTCACGTTATCAGGACATTCTGCCTCTCCAGGGCGGCCACTTTTCCCAGCTGAATAAATATAATAAACCAGCCTCAAGAGGTACGGCTAGATCATTCAGAAATTATTGAGATATTTTCAAATTTATCGCAGAATATCTCTACTATTGGATGGAAATAGTAATTGCAAGTTATGGGAAATTTTGAAAATGGGAGTAATTGGAAAATTTAAATGAGTCCACTCACTTGGCAGTTCTGTAGAAGATAGCACAGCCATCCACATACTTTCGATCATTCTCGGCCATGGTCTTTGCCCTTGATTTCGGTGAAAAGATACCATCATAGCCATCGTGCTTGAGCTCGGGTAAGAAAAAGTTGTAGAATTGATCAGTTTCAACTTCCTGCAGGCTGATAATATCAGCGGCATAGTGACGTATCTCATCGAGTATTCCTTTTTTGCGATATTCCCAGTCAAGTGCCCAACTGGGACAGTATCCATACATCTGACGTGTTGCGTATTTGTCGCAAAGAACGTTATAGCACATTACTGTAAAGATACCTGGAACAAACAGATAAAAATTTATGAGGCCTGACAGCACAAAAGAGTGATAATTTATGGCATTACTAGATCATTTCCAGTCAATCGGTTGTTTTATGCCGCTGAAAAAAGCGTTGGCAAATGCAACTGTCGACAAATGGATTTACAAATGGATTTGAAAAATATAATTATTCTCGAAATTGGGAATTCCGTTGATTCGTCGAGCTGACCGAACAATTGAGAATTACCAAAATCTTCTACCAACTTCATTGGAACTAGCATCTCTGTTAATTAGCGAAACTCATCTGGAGGACATCCTAATTCTCATTGGAGATAACGAGTCCGACCGGAAGCCCTGGGATTTCCCCTTGAATAGGACAATGTAGGAAATGGCACTTGTATCTCGAGACGATAGTATATATACGATTGGCGATGCTAGTGTCTTCCAGAGTTACACGAAGTAGAAGAGGTATACCGCATGTGCGGTTGGTTGCACCTTGCCAATAGCATTTGGAGGATACTGTTGGCTTGTGCACCAAGATATCCAGGAGTGGCCAGAACGCTAGACTGAGCACAAGGGTGGGACACAAATAGGCAATAGAGCCCAGTGAGCCAGCATTAAACTCACTTCTATCTGACTACCCCCATGGTCTTGGTTCCACGTTAGATTGGCCATTCCCCTCAATTCCTCGAGGATGAATGTTCAGGCCAGTTGATACTCGTCAGTTTCTCTCGTTCTCTGAGGTTCACCCGGATTTTCACCGTGTCTATTCTTCCATTTTACTGGATCATTTACGACTGTCATTTTATCACAATCTTGGGGCAAAAGATTCTTATCGTCGGAGTCGTAAAGAGCCCCAGGTCCCGGCTTCATGCTAAATCACTGAGTAATTCTGATATTTGACGGATGTAGTGCTGTGACAAACCGAGTGGTCATGAAGTTCATGGCTTGGGGTATCAAGTCTATGGTCTTGGGTGGGTTTCAAGTCCCAAGGGCGGAGATAAGCGGATCAGCATAAAGCGGACTGTCTTACCAGCGTTGTGCAATGTCTGCATAAATTTTATCCCCTGGTTTGCAAGCTAGTCTTCAGCATTAAGTTTTTTCAATGACAGCTACATATTTCAAACCGAGTTTCACCCTCAAAATTTTCAGCATCAAAAAATTCACATGAAATTTTCATTATTTTCAATTCATCATCGACATTATTATTCCATGAAATCGGAGCTCTGGAAATTCATTAAAATCGAGTAACTAGCGCAGAATCACGGAGAGTGTATCTAAAATTACTGAACGCAAGGGAATTCTTTGTTCGGCTAGATTAATGAGCATCTCGATTTGTGCATCTGCTTGATTACGAGCGAGTGTATACCGTAGTAATTTACCCCTGGTGAATCGATTTTCACCGGCCCCGCCTCATTAACAAAATTCACTCCCACGAATTCATCAGTGTAATTTCACGAGAGGGTTTGGAAAGATTGTACAGCTGTTGACATGAATTCGAATGACTCACTCCTCGAGATTCACTCGTGCGATCGCGTCGAGAGGACATTACATGGAGATTCGATGTTGCGTGAGATACGTCTCTTGATAACGGTCCAACCCTTCCATATTTCGTATCACCCGTAGGTGTGTATTTAACAACTGAGAACAATAACGTGTAATGAACTCTGAATTATTAAAAAATTTTTAAGAACCCGAAAAAAAATAAATAAAAATCCTCAATTCATTCGACTACTTCAATATATAGATAGTACGAAATAGTGTATTATCGTTAACAATTGAAATGGATGCGCAGTCTCTCTTAATTCGATTTCAATCTCCAATGGAGAAGCCCCAAGGTCTCGCCATTATCTCGGCTCCTTCGTAAACTGGTGTGTGAACTTCCCGTTTCGATGCAGAAATCTCCAAGTGCCAGAGGTTACCATCAACTTTATCGATCAGATTGGCAAGAGCGCGCTAATGCGTTTGATCCATTTTGCAAAACCTCGGGATTACAATTGCCGTAGTGCCCTCCCCCTAACCCACCGCCAATCGATAAAACGTGATGCGGTTCACTAGACGATAAAGAAAGCGGTTTAAATCGAGATAAGCAACCGATCACGTAGTCCTTTCAGCGGGTAGCTGTTGCGAGTTCAGTACAGTTGTTTTCACGGACAAACCACTTGCTTCCCCCTCCCCTCAATCATGAGACAAATCTCATCCGAATATCCACATTTTTTTTTCAAATCAAACTCAATTCGCCTTCATCAAATCATAACTGAGTTCCCTTTGATCACACCCTCGAAAAAGAAAACATGGATGAGAAAAAAAAATGATGAACCAATATCACTCGGAGATTGATCTTTCTTTACCCTGGATGGGATTTCTGATTTCCACTGTGGGATGAGGGCAGTCGAGGGAATGATCCCTGGGTTAATCAATTTTTCTCCACTTCATTGTGACAAACATCTTGTTACCGTCACAGCTGATGCTATCCGAAATGGTGGATGTGGTGTACAGAAAAGGGAGAAAAGGGAGAAAAGGGAGAAAAGGGTAGATGAGGGAGAAATGGGAGAAATGGGAGAGTATGAAGGACTAATAAGATCAAGGTTGACTCACTGATAAAAGGTTAGCCCTGACATGAGAGAGAACCGCACTGGATAACGAACCCATCGAGATGATGAAGGAAGAGACAATTCGATTGATTGCACGGACAAATTAACACACCAGTGGAGAAAGGGAGGATCTATCGAGTTACCCTTAGATAAATAGAGTACGAAAAGAGTCTGGAGTGAGAATGATGGGTCATCGGAGCATTGATCACGGTGAATATATTCCAATCATAATTAAAGTATTGATACGAGCATTACGCGATGCCTTGAGCGGCTAATGTTCATTTTGCTTGCGTCAGTCGATTAGCAAACGGCAGTCAATTACACTAACAAATTCAGTCATAATATTTCAGAACTAGCCAAGAGGGATCCATCGGATGTGGCCTTGAATGTTACCGATGAACGATGCTAATCGATCGACGTCGACCAGTCGTTCTAGTCTCCATTATTCCGCCATTCAGCAGTTTGTCACAGCTTATATGACTCCGCTGACTTCGATGGAGATAATTCGACTCGATGTTTTCAGGCATCGTAAAACAAAATGTATGCACTTCCCCGTGGGGCATTGACTACCTTCCCTCACGTAGAGACACGTGTGGAGGAATTGGTTGAGGTAGCCGACCTGTTAATCACTTCACTATTGCAAAGTGTTTACTGGTGAGAAAATATACCCTGGAATGGCCCCTTCGGGGTATCAAGACATATTTTCCCACACAATCCTCACTATTCAATGGTGCACGTGTTCTATCGTGCTACCTTACATCATTTGGCACTACGACAGCTCGATATCGCTGAATTAGAAAATAAAATCACAGATAAAAAATTGACATCGGTGATATACCTCGGGGTCTACCTGTGACCCCGGTGGGGTGGCACTGGGGGGATGGGAAAAATGGGCTTGCCCATTGCATTCACTATATCAGTGGTTATAGCACCAGATTGCCAAGATTCAAACTTCTATGTGGCATTAAACGCTGCGGGAGTTCAAGTCTTCTGTCACGATCGATTCTTGATGCTGTTGGAAATTCCAGCTGATGCCTCCATGCAACGATAATACATTTTCTATATTTTCCGAGGGGAGAGATACCTTTGCGGTGGGAACTATTCTCCGAGTTTTTATCATGATAAATGAAAATAATTGTCAGAAAAATTTTTGAGAGTGGCTTATACCTAAAGGTCGATTCGCTCTCGAAGCCAGATGAAGTGTGACGATGAGCGAGATCCTCAGAGGGTGATAAATAATCGACTTAACACCTCTCGGTGGTTCTCTCATGGTCACTCTCATCCCCCTGATTTATCGACACGAGATCAGCCAACACATCATCACTACGGAATAAATTCACCTTCACAATTGAGAACTTGATGATGTGTGAGTCGGCGTTAGGTCTTCGTGGTTAGCCATGGGGATTATGGCAGAGAGTTCAGTATGCAAACTGGGTATGATAACGCGAGCAATATGACAGTTTTCCCCGGTGAAATGATCTTACTCGGTGAACGAGGGTAATAACCCACAGGCCGCAATGAGACGCAGTGCAGGTAATTATAATGCATCGTACAATGATGTACATAGTTACTTTGGAGTCGTTAATTTCATGAACCCCATGTACAGATTTCATGTACTCATCGCAGCTATCGTACGTCAACTGCGGTAATTTCCCTTGCTTTACGATGGAACTCAATGATTTTTTATTATACTCTGAATATCTCCACCGATATATTTCTCATCAATGCACTTTATCGAAGTACTTATCTCACGTTGGATTCGTATTGATCTGCTCCGGGACAGTTATTTCCCTTGATATTTCTCCATGATCGTTAATATTTAAACTCTCCACAGCCGGAAGTTGTAATTATAGGCCCGGAAAAAAAATGTCATCGGAATATTTTTTTCAAATTTTCAAAAAATTCCTGGAAAACATTTTAGAAATTTTTCAAAAATTTGTGTCGAAAATTTTTTTTTATAATTTTCTAGAAATTTTTGCGAATATAATTTTTTCTTTTAATTATACTGTTGTTTTCTTACTTTTTTCATTTTTCAATATTCTCAGAAAATACGCCATCTAAATTATAAAAAAATTTCCTATTCAAATTTTTGAAAATTTGGAAAAAATATTCCGAGTACAATTATTTTTTTACCCGAGGGGAAACAAATTGGGATCCGAAAAAATGGAACCGAACGAGTTTGCGAGAGGCTAGAGTGAAATCCACGAAAAGTATCGGCAAAGGTTCTCCGATCGTTGAACGAGCCCTGAAGAAATCCATAGAAACAAACGACCAAGAAGCAAAATGCAAAGACAATCGACGATGGAGCGGTTCGGGAGTCCATTTCAAAGGCAAGTTGGAGACTCCTATAAACACACACCGAGAACTTCCTGCTCACGGGGATTCCCAGTGGGTGCAGCAGTTAACCATCGGTATTATAATAGGGTACGCATTATAAATAATGAATAGCGTAAAACCATAATGAAATGATTTATCGTCTTTATCCACAGTGGACTCCTGGCAATGGCTTCTTTTCGGCCTCTCCCTCTCATCCAAACTCAGAATGGGTCTCCCCTGATTAAGTGTAGTGTAGCACCATTCTCTGTTATTCAATGCGATAAATCTACTCATGAATACGTGGATCGGGTGGCACCATGGGGGTGCCCCAGGAAAACTCGTGGCTCTCGGCATGAGGATCGGGATCAAGGTGATGTCATTATGCAAGGTCATTGCTAAGTCCAGACCCAATGATTTTTTCCCTTGCGATTTTTTTTTTTCAAAAAACATAATTGGATTCCATGAAAAAAATGGTTTATTGAATTAAAATAGTGAAAAGTTATTAGTGTGTATTTTATGTATCACCTGTAGATTGAAGATGAATATGAATATTTTATATTGAAATAGATTTTTTAACGAGACTCCTAGCAGGATCATTGAAGATGTCTAACTGGTTAACCACCTGGAAATGGCCCCCCCCATGTGCTAATGCCCAGAAGGCACACCATCCAACCAAACCTCCAGTATTCACACATGATTCGTGACCGTGAATCTCTAATCGAACGATAAATTCCATTTGCAAATGCTATTTGTTAAGTTGTAACCCTGGAGATACGATGAGTGAGAGAGGCGTATAATCCGATGCTTTGCATATTTGTGCATCCTGATATCGACAGCTCATACATGCCAGATTAATCTGTTACATTGGGTGAGGGAGAGCTCGAGTCTAGCAAGATGGTGCAATATATTCTGGGAAATGATGTTGATTGCAAGAGATGGTAGCGTTGAATATTCACCCTCTTCAGGTTTGATGGTGGTTTTTTGATTTCAAGTAATCGACGATTGGAGTGGAAAATGCCGGAAAATATGTCTGAACGGAATGTCTGGTTTGATACGAGTTGCGATAACCATTTGGAAAATTATCATTAATTTGGTGAACAGATAATTAATTTCTCTCGAATCAGTGGATTGGCGGTAATTATGGAAAATTTAGTAATCGCGAAATGGCTATTGGAGAATATTGGTGTCGATTTTTGGAATAATGGAAAACGTAATTTTGGAAAAATTGCAGTTTTATTTAATTTCATTTGGGGGAGGGTGGGAGGTGCGGGTAGTTTAGATATTTACTGTGCGCTGTTGCCTGGGGATAGTCTTAATCTGTTCGCCCGCCTCTCGTCGATGATCCTTGGGTGTGATTATCAATTAGCTTCGGCGCTGTGTTATTATTAGAGCGCATTAATGGCGTCACACCGAGACTGAGTTATGGGCCGTATGTACCCTGCGGGCGGTTATCCGTTACGCTCCCTAGAATACATACGGTGCGTAATGCATTGTTAGTCACGGCAATCTTGTGGCTACGCCAGTGGCTTGTCTTTTTACATTCGAGATATCTCAATACCAATCTTTATCATTGATGACCGTTACTTCGGGATTTGACATCTTCAGTTATTTCCTACGTCTTACTCGCTGATTTCTTCCATTGCGCGCGCAATTCTCCATTTTCTTTTCTCAAAGAGTTCCTTTCAGAGATTTACCATTTACCAGAGAATGAAATACCGGGTAAAAAAAATTGTAATCGGAATATTTTTTTTTATTTTTAAAACTTGTCAGATTTTTTTTTTAAAAAGAAAAAAATTTTATGGAAAGTAAAAAAACAACAATATAATTGAAAAGGATTATATTCGCAAAAATTTCGAGAAAATTATAAAAAAAAATTGCCGAAACAAATTTTTGAAAAATTTTTCAAAACATTTTCCAAAAATACAATTTCGTTTTCGGATTTTTTTTGGTTCAAAAAAAAAATCTCGGAAAACTTTTCCAGAAATTTTTGGAAAATTTGGAAAAAATATTCCGATTACAATTTTTTTTTTACCCGGAACTTTTCGGTGACAATTACCGAAATAATTTTCGAACGTTAAATTTTAAATGTTTTTCCCTGAAAAATTCAATTCCGGATTTTCACTTTCGCAACGACTGTTCCGTAATTGTAATTGTTATTGAATATTTCGCTCTTTGTGTTTAAAACTGGCAAGAGTAATGTTATCGATAAAAATCAATGCCCCCGCATCGGGAATGCTAGAAAAATAATTTCCGTTGATATTGTTTCGTGGAATATATTTTTATACGAATATGGCTGATGGGTTGTCGATACTGATGTAAGCTGCGGTCTCATCTGCGCCAATAGTGAGATATGGTGGTGTTAATTTCCGCTGAATCAAGAGCACAAGCGTGACGCTTATGGGACTATGATTGAATACGTTGTGAGAAATACACCACACCCTGCTGCGAGATAGATATTGATTCTGTTTTGCCGTGATGATAAAATCCATTATGCTGATCGACAGCCGCTGATTGAAGATAACAGTGCATTCGAAATACTGATTTATCGGTGGAGATGAAAAATGGAGTTGATGAGAGAGGGAGTGATTTTTTTAAATTAAATTCTCGCGCTCGGTGAACCTTCAGTTCTCTTCATGTTCAGTCGGATTTCGGTCCCTCCAACGGGGGTTGTTAATAGGGGCTCGCTTTCACAGGGGCTGCTATCGACGCCCGAGTTAATTAATCAACTTACGCATTTCAGAAAATACAATTCCGGCCCTCTCCTTTCTGCGCAGTAATTAATATTTCGCCAACACCTCTTACTTTTATCCAAAGACGCGAATTGAGGGAAATTTAATGAATTGAGTAATTGCATTTTGAATTATTCATACACAGAGTAATTCATGTGCTGTAGCCTCATGAGCTGGAAATTATCGGCGGTTTATTCGTTAGCGATGATCGAGTGGAAGGTTCGACGATCAATCCGGCGAATCAACCGTCAACAATCAAAACAATCATGCACATTCAACCAAATTGAGTTACTTACACGTTGGCCGGGTCCTGTTGGGTCTTGTCAACGGTATCCATGGTCTCTGCGGTGGATGATTCGCTGTTACTGAAACCATACAAATGAACAAATGTCAATTATCGTTACACGGGTGCTGGTCGAGTCGAGTATGTAACCCGGTTAAATGGTGCCTCGAAATTTTCGAAAATTGCCAGTGTAGAATCAGAGAGCACGTAACGAGATATTACCGCATCAATACAATCCAGCTGAATCATTGAAAACCAACGGAGTCTCCCGCTGCAATCGAATTTCCAGTCTATTTTCATTGGAATTTTAGTAATTCAATTAAACGTACCCGTGGGACAACTCCCCTCCATAAACCAAATGCGCAGAAGAACGTGCCATGAATTTCGCCGAATGAGAATAAATAACGCAGGTCACATTACCCCGCGATAAATCCGGCCATTGGAAATTACCATAAGTCAGACTTATTAAAAAATGAATAAAAATAGAAGAGGAAAAATGAAATATTAATTCAAAATAAAAATCGTAATTCCCTGTACCCTCTTGGGTCTTCATCGTGAGAACGATACAATTCGTGCCTTAATCTCCCTCGACACGCGATACCCAACCCCCGGGTATTATCCCTTTGAAAACACTTACATCGCCATTTTCTTGAAAAAAAATGGGGTACACAAATTTCTTCTTGATTTTCATTATGAGAAAAAACACAACTGCCTGGATTATTTCCCTCAATTATTTGATAACAGCATTGTGAAAATAGCACACCGCAAATGATATGGTGATGTATAATAGCATGTGAAGAGGGGGTTGTGTCTAACGACTCCTTGAGCGTCACATTAACGACTACCAAGCAAGTCCTCCTCCGCGTAATTCAGCCTTGACATGAATGAGGGTACATTAGGCCTCCCTTCTATTCATACATTCTGCGTAGGAAGGAGGTGGAAGATGATAGAGAAAGTATCATTACAGCATGAATGTCAAAAGAAGTGGAGGGGCACCGAGTGCAATCAACAATTCAGACCGTCTCATTTTCCCGGAGACCGCCGGAGGTTTTTGACTCCGAAGAAGAGCCTCCACAGCGGCCATCACCCCCAGGTTACCCTAGACATCATTCAACTCCTAGACTCACAAACGAATTATTCCAGTGTTTACACAGTCTCTCGAAATATCCGTATCTTTGTACTCGGGGTAAAGAAATTTCTTTAAAGAGATGAGAAACGAAATAGTAAACGAAGAATTGTGTTGTCTATATTTTCCTAGCAAATGCGATAACAAAGTTTTCGAGTTGAATGCCGAGTTGGCATTGGTGCATCTCAATACCCCGATATGAAAACTAAAATTTGTCCTTTCAGAAAATCTCATTCATAGGGTGAGTATTCAGAACAGAGAATTACTCCTCTCACGGAACAATTCTGGCTCTCTCCCTCCATTGAATTATTGACACAACTGTCCAAGTTTTACGAGTGAGCCCTTTTGCCCTTAAAATATTCAACGAGTTAACACTGACGCCCGGTGAAACAGTTAAATGTTAGTACCCAGGGAGAGCGGCCATGTGCCACAGTGTTTAACTTTTCTCCATGAAAACTGGAATGAAATTTTGCAGCCCATAGTGCAAGAGAATACACCGTTATATCACGTGTAGTTATACACAATCTGATTGTGGCCCCCTTCTGGCTACCTCTTGTTTTATAATAATTACATTCTCCAGTACACCGACATACCACCAACTGGACATTCTATCTTCGTTTAACACCTGACTTGGCAACATTTTCAGTGACATATATCAGGAAGTGTAGATAGCATTTACAGTGGCAAGTGAACACCAGCCACTATAATTGCAGAGCGATGAGTATAAACCCATACACCAATGGAATTCAACTGCAGATGTACAAAAGCTGAGTGAAGAATGAGATATGAAGTGGTGTGGGAAATGAGTCAGTGAATGCCTTGGATAGATACAAACTTGTGAGCCTTCATTAAGCTTGTTCATTACATCAGTCTCGCTCTGACCCTGCACACCTTTTTTCCATCCACACCACGGCCAAGTCGTTATAATAATAAATAATTAACTCCAGTTTGTAAATAATTAAGCCTCATGCTGACTTTTTTTTTCACCGCTGACCACCACGCATCAGCGATTCTGCATATTATTTATTTGTACATGCCTCTGGTTTTTTTTTCTCTAGGAAATTATTCCCCTTATCCACTTCTTTATTTTCGTATTTTTTCATTTCGCGGACAAATTGAAGTTCCAACTTCAATTATGAAAATTTTGAGGATTAAAATTTTGGGGTGTGTTGTTGGGAATTAATTCCGTTAATGCTGCACCTTAAAGTGGATGGAATAATGGTTTTTCATTTTTTTTTTCAGGGAATCTGTCGAACAGCCGCAAAGTGATGAACACCGGAGGCTTCCCCAGGGGGATTTACCCGTGGAAACTATGAAAGTGCCTTGAGGAACCAGTCAGGGACCCCCGGGGGACTATCAGGAAGATTACGTAGGCGACGACGACGCGGGACCTGGAAACTGGCGCGAGAGAGATCTTGACGGGAAAAATGGAAGACAGGGGAAGGCAAATGGAAAGAGGATGGAACGTGGACGAGTGACTGGAGATGATCCCTCAGCGACGACTTGGATATCTGGATTATGTCCCCTCTGGAGAGTCTTGTGCCCAGAGGCAGATCTCGGGCAGATTGAGCGGTCAATCTGGTGGAACTTGCTTGCACCAACAACGAAGGGGATGGAAAATGGGGTGACACTGTGACGTTGCCGGAAGGGTGTGACGCCAGGAATTACTTCACCGCTTAAGCAATTTCCAAAGTACCTGTCGGGGTACTCCAATTACGACGAAACATTCCACTCTCCGTACACCACTGCAATATAATCTTGATATAATATTTGGGCTTTTTAATTTTGGTTTTCAAGTTAGACTTCAGCGGACAGCATTTTTTTTATGATATATCCAGGTAAAAAAAATTGTAATGGGAATATTTTTTCCAAATTCTCCAAAAATTTCCGGAAAAATATAAAAAAAAATTTTCCAAACATTTCCGAAAAATACAATTGTTTTGTATACCAATTTCTTTTTTGTTAAAAAAAAAAATTTTCTGAAAATTTTCCAGAATTTTTTGGAAAATTTGGAAAAATTATTTCGATCACAATTTTTTTTTTACCCGGGCATTTTCAGTGGATTAAGACAATTTCGGGAATTGCGAAAATTCAAGGAAATTTAGCAATTACCTAAATTTTTTTACTACAAAAATTATGTAAAATACGAAATTTTTGTTTTCCGCCCTTATAAAAAAGAATAAATAAAACTTTTGTTGCATAATTTGTAAAAATCATTCCAGCCCTTTATAACTGAAATAATTCAGTCATCAATGCTCGCTTATGACGAGTGCTTTGAATATTAAAACATTGAATTCCGTGGAATGTTAATATGCGAAAAGTGGGGAAAATGCGGCATCTCGAGTATTTTTTTTCATCGAGTGAAATCCGTCGAAATGGATCAGACGAATGTCGATTCGACGTGCCGAAAATAGCCAATTTTCATGCAAATTATATTTCCACCGTCGCCATGAAACTAAATGAAAAGAATAAAACGACAAAAGTGTAAGAGTAGAAAAAAAAAGTGGGAAAAAAATGAATAGAACAGACTTGACTGTGAAGTGAGGTATAATTTGGTCAAAAAGACCGTGGATGGAAAATTCACTTTGATAATGAGCTCCACTTTCAACGATGGTGGAGTCACACAGCGTAGGGAAGTACGAGCTGAGAATAATATAACTTGAATATTCCAGGCAGGAGTGAGAGTGGAGTGTGGTTAATTAAACTGAATTTAGGACTTTGAAAGTTGGGTTTTCATCAAGAGTTAAAAGGTAAAAGATACTTGGATAATTATATGATACCTGATCATGACACCAGGCTAATGATATTACCCGGACTCTAACTTTCTCGCGAATACACGAGAATTCTCGGATCAGTGGGAATTTAAAAAAATTTAATAAAGACGCTGAATTACTGTTATTTTATTTTTCTATCCAAGCAGGTGGACTTTAATTAACTCGGCAAGCTCATTCACAGAATCTTTTCAGTCTTCCCTATGGATCCTTCGTGTGTCCTGGCATCTAAAGTAGAGCCTTCATTGCCTGGATAAAGTCTGGATCCATGTGGCTCTATCTTTCAAGTCTGAAACGAGATTATCCCTGTTTCCCATGGGTTTTCTTAATTTTTTAATTTTGACCCTCGATAGGACTATGGAAAAATATCCAGCAGAAAACGTAAGGACGCCCTATCGATCGCCGATATCCCCGAGTAAGAAATTCACACCGATTTATTTCAGGGTTTAACGGGATTCGAAAAAATGCGATTGTTATTAATCGTTGGTTAACTAAACGTACAGCCTCGACTATCTCTCCACTTCTTTAATCGTCTTTCCCTCGGTTATTCACTTCCTTTCGGCTACTTTGTCGAGATCTTAATTAACTCTGTGATTTCGAGGAATGTCGTGTGTCTTAACATCGGGCCGCATGCACTCTCGGGGTTTTAATCGCCCTGACGCATCTGTGCGCCTTCGGCGAGTTCTCTCTACTCGATTTGCCCGGTTTATTTATTAGAAAAATAAAATAATTCAAGTAGTTGTTGTAAGAGATTCGAATGGAATTTTTTCATACGGCGCAATGAGAGAAAAAATTTATCTTCTTGAAAAAAATTCACCCGACGCAAGTCCAAGGCGCGAGTGTCTTGTTAATTTGAAAAATTGATTTTAATATAATAATATAATAATATTATAATTTCTGCAGCACTGTGATTCTACTCGAGAATTATTAAACCCGCGTTTTTAGGTGAGAGTGGAATGAAAAAAAAATCTGCACTGGGTACTTGATGTAATGAACGAGTATTGAATTGTCGACGAGCCCTCCCTCTTCCTCGACAAGATTTTATCACCAAGCTGCACCGAGAGTGCCATAAATCTCTATCTATGAAATTTAATAGCACGAGATACGCCAAAGCACTCTCTCGGCAAATTTATATTTTCTAATGACTCCAGTTAATTTATGTCCTCCAATTTGCTGGAGCTGGAAGCCGGTCTTGGCCATTTTCATACGTATCCCGAGAGCATTAATGCACTCGACCTTTTCCAACGTTATACCCCGAATATGCAAATATTTCCTTGATTTGCGCGTACGAAAACCTGAGGGGTTTGAGAAATATGTGCACTGGTAATACATGCGAGAACATGGAAATTTGTAGTGTACACAAGTTTGATGTGCCAGGATGCAACTAGTAACAGTAAACTCAAGACATCTTCGTGATGTTCTATGAAATATACATGTTACGACGTTACACCTGGGGGTTGGAAAACATCGATACAACTTGTCGGTGAGTAGTAACGGAATAGCTTCCGGACTGGAAACTTGAAGGGAGTGGTGATGAGGACGAAATAACCCGAGGAGTCTTCATCCAACGATAAGGACTAACACCGAAATAGCTTTTTAACGTTGCAAGCTAATCCTCCATGGGATTAGTGGGATTAAATGCCACCGTATTCTTAGTGTCAGCGACTCAGACATTTTATGGAAATGGATCTACCCTATGAGCATACTGGACTAGATGAAATTGCCACTGAGCCGGGATATTTCAACCCTTGCCAAAAGAGAAATAGCGAATTTTCCTCGTCCAGTCATCATTTCGTTCACCAGTGAGTCATGACCTTTCTTCCCCAACACTATTTTCACTGATGAGAAATCTGTCGCATGTTTACGATGCTCTGGTGGAATTCGTAGTTGAAAATGTCGGGGGGTGATTTTTGCGGGAAATGATTTTGACTCGCGAAGCGGAAAGACGGGAAATCGAATGGATTTGAGGGTTCAAGATGGCTGACCCGATTTTCAAGATGGAAAAAAGGTTGTGTAAAAATTGCACTGAAATAACTCGATAGGTGATACGACAGGATGCGTATTCGATCGATTTTACTTCGATTTCGATATTCAGTCATTCGTACTTGTAATGCTGAGAATATTGCGATGAAAATTCTGTACCTACTCGGGTAAAAAAAAATTGTAATCGGAATATTTTTTAATCGGAAACAATTGTATTCTTGGGAAATGTTTTAAGAAATTTTTCAAAAATTTGTTTTTATAATTTCTAGAAATTTTTGCGAATATAATTTTTTCATTTTTTTGATTTTTCAATATTCTCAAAAAAAAAACGCCATTTAAATTACAACAAAAATTTCTTATTCAAATTTTAGAAAAGTTTTCCAAAACCTTTCCAAAAAATAAAATTTCTTTGTTTTTTTTGTTTTATAAAAAAATGGTCTAAAAGTTTTGCAGAAATATTTGAAAATTTGAAAAAAATATTCGGATAATTTTTTTTTACCCGAGTAGTGAGGCACATGGAGCTGCAGATCGTCTGACAATAATATCTCATAGTGGTTGCTATCCCCTCTGGTTTGACCCGCTAAATCGAAAAAGTTGGCCACGACGGCACGTGTGTAACCAACAAAAAGGCTGATGGCGAATGGGAAAAAAAAAATAAAAATAAAACGAAAATTGTTACCTATAGTTCTTGACAAGGAAGAAGTTGGGTAAAAACGTTGAAACAACTGGAATGAGTTCAAAAGTGGAAATATCTTTCGGTTTACTTGGCTCAGGGAGAATGAAACCGTGAAATCTTGATAAACTCGATTACCCGGAGAGCTCACTTGGTTGTGGTGGTGTGCAGAAGGGCAAAACGGGGTTAATACCAGTTTTCCACAACGAGTATCCACACCACCAGACCTAAAGTGTCATTAAGCGTAATACAAATTTACGCGAGCGCTGTTTAACTGGTTTATGACTATTTTATCAGTTTCGCGTTATTAAGAAGCCGATGGTGGGTATCTTCAGGGATGGACTTTTTGCTTCTATGGCGTCATCAGTGAATACTGCAATGTGAATATCTAATGTTAATGAATACTTCCGTGTTACGAGACTCGATCTACGTGGGAGGGATTGGAAAATTAAATTAAAGTGTAGGAAAAGGGTTTCCCCATTTTCCGAGATTCCCCATTATTCCCTGCCCAGCTAAATCAAAATATAATCCAAATAATTCCTCGAGATTATCGAAAAATTTGGGGAATACTCTTTAGAAATTTTAGTCATGAAATTTAAAAAATGGGGAGGAAAATCGATGCGTTTAGAATTTTTTTCACATTACGAAATGTCTTGGGAATTCTGTGGAATTTGCAGGTGATGAATATTTTCGAAATTCATCAGATATTTCAGGGAAATGTTTTCCCCGGCGTATGTCCATTCGATGATGTATCGCCATGAGGATAATTAATTATCGTTCGTAGGTGCGACTGCATTACTGTGATTTATGCAGACACCACTATCAATTATCGTTTTCACGAGGATGCACATTGCATGGAGATACTCATTGACGGAAATCGTTCAAGGTTCATCCGGTTTAATATTAGATAAAATAACAGACTCCAAGACGTTTAATCCGCGATGCTGCAGGGCTCCAGTTAAATGTGTGCAACCCCTCAGTAATTAACACGATAACATGGCATTACGGTTAATTGGGTGAGTATTGCATATTTTTCATTAAATTATTGTCAATATTTTATATTACAGAATGTTGTCATTGAATGCGACGTTATTTTTAGAATTCTCCTGGTGGTTAGTGCGGCAGTTTTTGCGAAAAATTTTGAAGTCAGAGGATTCCCTGGTTTCGAAGAGTATGATGGCGACATTGCGGGGTTGTTTTATGATTCGGGGAATGAAAGAGATGAAAAGAAAGAAGAGGCGCGAGTCTGTGAGACTGACGCCTGCAAAATTCTTGGTAATACAGATTTATGAATTACGGGATTGCAATTATGCATTGGGTTGTTTAATTTTTTTTTTAGGAAAGGAATTCTTGAGTAGTATGAACAAGTCGATAGATCCCTGTGAGAATTTCTATGATTATGTGTGTGGAGCTATGAATCCTGATATCATACCGCCTTATGAAGACAGTTGGGGACGTACAGAGATGTTTCAATTTACCGTTCACAAGAGAATCAAAGGTATTAAACTCTGGGTCCAAAAAAATTGGAATCGGAATATTTTTTTTCAAATTTTCAAGACATTTCTGGAATACTTTCCGGGAAATTTTTCTTTTGAAACAAATTTTTGTCAGGTATTTTGGAATCAGAGCCTGAACCCAGTGACATATTGCCGGTGAGACAAGCGAAAAAAATGTACAGGGCTTGCATGGACCTGGAGGCAAGGGAAAATCGAGGTATCAAGCCGCTGGAGTCGATCATAATGCGGACTGGGGGTTGGCCGATGATCATGGATCCGGAGGAGTGGTACGATGGGGATCTATCCTGGCAAGAAATTGAGATGAATTATTTCCACATCGACGGCAAATTCAGCTTTTATAAAATTGATCCTTCCTGGTGGAGAGCCATGCACTCAGAAAAACTTGAGAAGGAGATCATTGTGAGTGATTTATTTCTCATTAATAATTCTTTTCGAAGATCTTTCCACTTCCGGAGCTTTTACCAATTTCATAATATTTTCTAAAATCCATTTGATCATTCACAAAAATGAGTAAAATTTACTAGATGGAACCTGCGGATTTGCCACTTGAGAAGAAGCTTCCTTACGCTTATCATAATTTTACGGAGGACGCATTGAAGGAATTTTCGGGTGTGATAAAGAAGGTTGCCAAGGTATTCATTGAGCATAATGGAGCTGCTGTGACGGATGAGATGTTGAAAAAAGATATTGACGCATTAATGGACTTCCACACAAAACTATACGAAGTACGTCATTACAAAAAAATCATTGGGTATTACTGTTCAATTATTTTACCATAATTGTCTCCTTGAAGGTGATTAATGACAACTCCGAAATCTCGATATCAACCATTGAAGAATTCATCAAAGAGTACAATGAGAAGCTATCTGATCTCTCAGAAAGGGAAAAGGTGAGTAATAATTAAGGGGGCAGTGTAAATTTTGTATTGAAGTAATTTCTGCATGTGTAGATTAATTTCAAAAATATTTTTGAAATATTACTTGGGATGGAGAACATTAAAGTGGACGACTCCATCCAATTGAGCATTATATCATCGACTTATTACACCAATTTGACAATACTACTGAAAGAAACACCCCTCCGGACTGTTGGTAGGTATTTTTTATAAATTATTTCAATGGATTATTTAAGGCATTTTTTCTGTCAGTGAATTACATCCACTGGAATTTCGTGAGTAAAATGATGTTTTACACGACCAAAGAAATGAGCGAAATATTCATGACATTGGTAAAGAAAGAAAGCGGAGTGGAGAAGACACGACCACGGTAGATATACTCGGTGGATTAATTAATTATGTATTGAATTTTATTCCGGTCCTGATAAACTCATTTTTTTTCAGCTGGCTTGAGTGCGTGGAGAATATTAAAATGGAACACGCGTCTTCCTACGCATTTGTGGAAAAGTATTTCGATAAAAAAACGGAGAAAGCCGTGAGTGAATAATTCGCACGTGAAAAAAAAATTCCTTTTACATTTTCCCCGTTTTTCAGGCAACAGAGATGACGGAGAATATTCGTCTCGAAATGGAATCGCAGATCGATAAATCAAATTGGCTCGATGACACCGCGAAAGAGCTATCGAAGGATAAACTCAGGAGTATGAAAGTTTTAATCGGATTTCCGGATTGGTACAGGAACAGAACCGCTGTCATGAATTCATACAAAGGGGTAAATACCACTCTCTATTATCTTCAAAACAATTACTCAATTTTTCGATTTGATAATCCACAGTTGAAAGTTGGATACGACTATTTCGAGAATGTTGTGAATTTTGAGAAATATAAAAGACGAGAAATCAAAATTAAAACAAATCAAATTAAATCAAATTCAAAACAATTACTCAATTTTCCGATTTGATAATCCACAGTTGAAAGTTGGATACGACTATTTCGAGAATGTTCTGAATTTCGAGAAATATAAAAGACGAGAAATATTGCGATACCTGAAAGCAAAGAAGGAACACGAGCCGTGAGTAATTATTGAATAAATTCCCTAGTTTAATAAACAATAATTAATTGAAATATCACTTCCAGCTGGGATATAGAACCCGTGGTGGTCAATGCCCTTTACGGCCCGGAGGAAAATCTCATCAGTGCGTATTGAATGAGTAATTAAATTTAATTGAAACATATTTCCCACAATATTTTATTTTTCAATAGATATTCCAGCTGCCGATTTTCAACCTCCATTATTCACTCCAAATCTCCCTGAGTGAGTAATCTCTCAATTTTCCTATCAGTCCTCGATTCGTGGTACATTGAATATTTTTTTCATTCACAGTAATATTAATTACGGACTGGTCGGCTGCATTGTGGGTCATGAAATGGGACATGGGTTCGACGACTCAGGCAAGTCGCAATAAATTAATCCACCAATATTGTTAATGAACAATAATTCGGTGATATTGCAGGGATAAAGTTGGGAAAAGATGGGAACGAAACTAAATTGTCGGACGAAATGATAGAATTGTATTACAAACGTGCCGAGTGCTTTTTGGATCAGTTCAATGGATATTGGGGTGTAACGGAAGGTGATTATGACGATGAAACTCCAGGTTATGGGGTGAGTATTCACGTCTTGAGTCGATAGAGGAGAAATAACTTTTGATTACTCCAAAGAGGGGAAGTATGGGGCGCAAAACGAGAGGTGAAAATATCGCTGACACCACGGGACTCCACACAGTGTTCGAGGCCTATCGGAATTTACGAGAGAAAAAGGGAAAACCTGAGGAAAAACTTCCTGGCTTCGAGGATTACACCGATGATCAGATGTTCTTCATTTCATTCGCAGCTGTGAGTGTCAATCTGTTCTGTATTAAAAAAAAAAATTATATGAATAATTTTTATTAGACGTGGTGTCAAGTCGTGACCCCCAAACACGCCGAAATGATGAAGCATCATGATGTGCACAGTCCTGGACATTTACGAGTTATCGGCGCTCTTTCCAACACAAATGATTTCGCCAGGGCCTTTCAATGTCCGGAGGGCAGTGCCATGAATCCCGAGGATAAATGCAATATCTGGAAAGCTGACGAGGATTTCCTAGCTGACGAATTGAACAAGTCCCCCTGCGATAGAAGAAAACGCAGCAGCAGGTGGGCCCTCCACGGATGGTGATTTTCTTCAACTTCAATCCTCCAATGCACAATTAAAACAATACCCTGATACTTGCAATTTATGATACTTTGAATATTGTGAAATAAACATTCTGCAATTTATTCGATTTTTTCGTGATTTCTTTTGAGCTCGAACCCCTGAAAATTATTATCGCCCCCCAATCCGAGTTTCACCTCAAAAATATTTTTAACTACAGAAGAGGTTTAAAATTTAAAAAATACACGAGAATTTTCAATTAGAAAAAAAAATGATCGATGATTGATTGATAAAATTAAAAAAGAATTTGTCAATGACTAGAGAGAATTTCAAAAATAATAATAATATTTATTTTCAAAGCATGAAGAGTTTGGGATGAGCAATGAACAAAGAAAATGGCGTCTGCCATTGAGAAGACGTAAATAGAATATGAGACTTCCGATTCGAGTGAAGAATTCACTGATGACATATCATTTATCGAAATTCACACCCCTTTCATGCTCCATAATGAGAATTTATGGCCGTTCGATAACATATACAGACAACTATTATTAATTCAACTAGTCTAATAGGCGCGGATGTACCACTACGATTAATGTGGACTTGGCTATCAATTATCATTTTCACGAGGATGCACGTTGTGCAATGATACGTATTTACGGAAATCGTTCAACTACATCCGCCTCGATATTAGTTCAAATAACCGAGGCTGGAACATTTAATTCGTGATTCTGCATGGTTTGAGTGCACGTTTTGTTGCAGATCAGTACGATATGACGTCGTTAAGAATAATTGGGTGAGTATTGAATGGATTTGCATAGATTGCGTATGATATTGCTGATTTTCAATCCTTGCGGTGGTATTCCTAGGATTCTGTTGGTGATCAATGGAGTTTTCGCGAAGAATTTGAAATTCAAAGGATTTGCGGAGGATTCTGAGGAGAACGATGACGATAACGACTGGTTATTTCATGATGCGAAGAGCGAAAGAGCCGTTCAGGATGAGTTTCATGTTTGCCAGACAGACGCCTGCAAAATCATCTGTAAGTGACCTGAAGTAATTGTTGAGATGCGTGTCATTGATTTCCTTGAAACTCCTGCAGCCAGTGAATTTTTGAAAAGTATGAACACGTCGGTGGATCCTTGCGACAATTTTTACGATTATGTCTGTGGCGGTTGGAATGGAAGAATTGATATAATACCGTCTTATGAGGGGAGCTGGGGCCGCTCAGAGTTATTTCAATTCACGGTGAACAAGAGGATCAAAGGTACGAGATAATGAGAGATTTCTAGGATTTGATCAGACACAATCCCTGATTTTTATGGCTCAGGTATTTTGGAGGGAGAGCCACAGCCCAGTGATATTTTGCCTGTGAGACAGGCAAAAAAAATGTACGCATCCTGTATGGATCTCCAGGCACGAGAAGAACGGGGACTGATACCTCTGGAGTCAATCCTGATGCGGACGGGGGGGTGGCCGATGATTATGGATCGGGAGGAGTGGTACGATGAAGACGCGTCCTGGCAAGAAATTGAGAAAAATTATTTCTACATCAATGGAAAATTTGTGTTCTACGATATTGATGCTCCCTATTTACGGAAACTTTATGGGGAAGAATTCATAGAGCGAATCGATGTAAGTGATTTGTTTTTTAATGGATTTAATAATTTGGAACTTGATTTCATTGAATTCGACAGTTGGCTCCTGGCTCTCTGCCATTTGCTAAGGAATTCCCTCACAAATGGTACCTGGGGAGGGATGAAATGATGGAGGAATATGCGAAGGTCATTGAAAAAGTGGCGATAGAATTCATAAAGCATAACAAGGCCGCTGTAACTGAGGAAATGCTGAGGAAAGATATTGACGATCTACTTGAGTTTGACAGACAAATACAAAAACTGTTGAGATCAGATCACGATGACGCGGAAATAAGTGTTGGAGAGTTTCTGGAGTTGTATAATGGAAATGTCACTGATATCCCGGATGAAGATAAGGTCAGTAATCCTGAGTAAAAAAAAACATTGTAATCGGAATATTTTTTCCAAATTTTCAAAAAATTTCTGGAAAACTTTTCAGAAATTTGTTTTTTAACAAAAAAAAATCCGGAAACAAAACAATTGTATTTCTGGGAAACGTTTTGAAAAATTTTTCAAAAATTTCATTCGGAAAATTTTTTAAATAATTTTCTAGAATTTTTTGCGAATATAATTATATTTTTTTTTTCTTACTTTTTTTATTTTTCAATATTCTCAAAAAATACGCCATTTAAATTATAAAAAAATGTTTCCTATTCAAATTTTTGAAAAATTTTTCAAAACCTTTCCCATAAATAAAATGGTTTTGTTCCCCGATTTTTTTTGTTTCATCAAAAAATGTTCTTAAAAGTTTTCCAGAAATTATTTGAAAATTTGAAAAAAATATTCCAATTACAATTTTTTGTACCCGGAATGATTCAAGTGATCTGAGTTGATCGATCAATTGATCCGACTGTCTGCAGATCGACTTCGGGAATCATATGAAAATACTTTTTGGAATGGAGAACATTAAAATCAATCGTACCGTCCAGATGTTGATTCAATCTCCAACATACTACAGTAATATAACATTATTGCTAAAAGAGACACCAATAAGGACTATCGGTAATTTTATATCATGAACCTCCTTTTCTTCATTTCATTCTCATTAAGAGATGAACAGAAATCAATTTGAATATTCTTCTCACGCAGCGAATTACATTCACTGGAATTTCGTGAGTAACATGTTGCCCCATGCAACGAAAAAATTGCAAGACATATATGATAACATGGTGGCAAAAAAACCTGGCGCAGTAAAGAGGAAACCAAGGTATTAATTGTGGAATAAATAATGAGTTTTTCCTCGCAGATATCTCTTAATGATTGTAATTTTGTAGTTGGATGGAGTGCGTACAGATGATTAAGATGGATCAAGCCTCCTCCTACGCATTTGTCATGAAGTATTTCAGTGATGAAACAGAAAAGGCTGTGAGTGTATTATAATTATTAAATTCAGCGTGTCAATATTCATTCGCGATATTTAATATTGTCAGGCGGTAGAAATGACAGAGAACGTTCGCAATGAGATGGAGTGGCAAATTGATAACTCAGACTGGCTCGACGATCTAGGGAAGAAGTTCACGAAAGACAAACTCAGAAGTATGAAATTTTTCATCGGATTTCCTAGTTGGTATAAAAATAGAACTGCTGTGATGAACTCTTACAAAGGGGTTAGTAATTTGTCCATAATTTGGAGGGAATATTCATCAGAAATAAATCATGACGATTTGATTGCAGTTGAAAATTGGATATGACTACTTTGAGAATATTCTCAACTTTGAGAAATACTCAGTGCGCGAACACTTGCGATACCTGAAAAATGTGAAGCAAGACGAACAGTGAGCATTAAAATAATCTCATAAGTAAAACCCAAAATATTAATAAAAATAAAATTTTCAGCTGGGGAATGGAGCCAGTGATGGTCAATGCATTATACGCAGGACCACAGAATTATTTGAGTGAGTACTCCATGAGTACCCGGGTATGAAAAAATTGTAATCGAAATATTTTTTCCAAATTTTCAAAAAATTTCTGGAGAATTTTTCAGAAAATTTTTTTTATGAAACAAAAAAATATTCGGAAAATGAAAAATTTTATTTTTGGGAAAGTCTTTGAAATTTTTTTTTTATAATTTAGATGGCGTATTTTTGAGATAATTGCAAAATTTCTAGAAAATTATAAAAAAAATTTTCCGAAACAAATTTTTGAAAAATTTTTCAAAACATTTCCCAAAAATACAATTGCTTGGTTTTCCGAAAATTTTCTGAAAAGTTTTCCAGAAATTTTTTGAAAATTTGGAAAAAATATTCCGACTACAATTTTTTTTTTACCCGGGTACTTACTATTCTTTTACAGAATAAACTCTGTAACACTGAAATGCGCATCTTTTCCAGATATTCCCGCAGCAGATTTGCAACCGCCATTCTTCACTCCAGATTTTCCAGAGTGAGTACTGTTTAAATATTTTCCCTTCACTTCGTTTGTGCATAAATAGAGAGATAGTAGATTCTCATTGAGACACACGAATAAATCCCATAAAGACAGAAATACAATGTACAATAAATAATCCAAGTATTTATTCAAAAAAATCCGTACGAAAATGGGACATCGATGTAATCACAAAGCAACACGGGATAAACATTCATCAACGGAGAACGCACTTGCTGCGATCGTAAACTGAATTTTCACATAGAAAATTCTAATACGAGAGAAATTTATTCCTCTCTTTTATTTTCCACACGGAATTCCGGAGAGGTGCGACTATAATAGGATTCTCCAATATCAGGCAATGAGAAAAAAATAATTCATTTAATCCTGCACCCATTGATCAATTGACCCATTTATTGAATTCCTTGAATTTTGATAATTACTTTTCCCCCGCGCACATTAAAAAAAAAAATTCTTTCCAGCAATGTTAATTACGGATCGATTGGCTCCATAATAGGCCATGAAATAGGACACGCCTTCGATGATTCAGGCAAGTTTTTAAGTCTTTCCGACTGTACAAATGGTAATCGTAATTGCAACAATAAGAAAATCCCTCAAATGGTGCAGGAATACGAGTGGGCGACGACGGTGAAGCTACTAAATTATCGAAGATGATGATAGAATCATACTACAAGCGAGCGGAATGTTTCTTGGATCAGTTCAATAACTATTGGGGTGTGACGGAAATAGTAGGCGCTGGTGGAACTCCGTCGTATCGTGTGAGTATTGCGACCATTTATTTTCGAAATAAATCGGGGATCTAGCCACTGAGGAAGAAATAACTTTTGGTTATTCGAAAGGGGAGAAGTATTGGACGACGAACGAGGGGTGAGAATATTGCCGATACAACGGGATTAAACTCCGTATACCAAGCTTATCGAAAGTTACGAGAGACGAAGGGCAAACCTGACGAGAGACTGCCGGATTTCCAGAAATATACCGACGATCAAATGTTCTTCATTTCATTCGCATCTGTGAGTATTAGGGTGCCTCATGATCGATAGAAATTCTGATAATCGTAACTGCAGGCGTGGTGCCAAGTAATGAGACCGGAATACGCGGAAGTGCTGAAGACGCGGGATGAGCACAGTCCTAATCATATGAGAGTGATAGGGGCAGTGTCCAATGTCGATGGATTCGCCAAGGCCTTCAATTGTCCCAAGGGAAGTCCCATGAATCCCGAGAACAAGTGTGACATTTGGGATGCTGAGGAATCATCTCTGACCAACGAAATTGACGATTTCCCGAGGAGAAGACACCGCAGCAGATGGAGCCTCAGTGGTTGGTGATTGCTAAGCGAAAACTAAACGAACCAATTGTAGAGGTCGATTTCACCTGTCGTTATGCGACAGTATAATAACAATGGATGTTTATTTTAATCCAATTATAATTATCAAATGAGAAAATAATTGTCGCAAATTAAATCCAAATGGTTTGAATTCTGTTGCGTTAATGGGAATAAAGATAACTCTCTGTCAGCAGTATTTATTTCAATTTAATCCAATCATCGTGAATTCCCAGCTCGTAATTCTCTTGAATAGGCGAAATCAATTTGAAATTACATAAATAATAGATCTCGCCGTGAGTGGGGAAAAAATAATTGAATAACAAAGAAGATTCTGCAATGCAATGCGTTGGTAGTTAACGCTAATAAATGCCGGTGTAATTTCTGAGTAAGACGTATAACTCGTTAACCTTTTTCCGCATTCATTCAGCACAAAAGTCGTGATGAGTATATGACATTGAACAGTTGGCGCCGAAGACGATTGCCAGACGGTATCATCTGCCGTCCATTGCAGGATGAAATTAATATCGATAGTGTACGTCGGGTCAATGAAAGCGGAGTGTTGTGCACGTGTGATATAAATGGAATATTTTTGTTTAGATTTTTTCTCGCAGTCAAGTGGATCGGAGTTTGCTGTTACACTTCAGCGAAAAATAATCGGGATTCATCAGCGGTGTGCAAGGCTAGGGAATGCAAAACACTAGGTGAACACTCGATATCAATTTTATTAATAAATAATAAAAATATCATATTCGTTGGTCAGGGTATATTGTAGCGTCGGGAATGAACAAATCGGTAAATCCATGCGATGATTTTTGGGAATACACTTGCGGAAATTGGATCTCCAGGACGCCCATTCCAGCTGGTGAAGCCACTTGGAATCGATTCGTGTTGCTTTTCAAGCAAGTGAAGGATAAAACACGTGGCAAGTTTTCGGGACTAATTAGGCATGAATGGTTGATGAATAACGCATTGCTGACTATAATAGGAAATTGATACTTGCAGAGATTTTGGAGAGCGCTGGGAAGCCCACGGATTTTGAAATGATGGGTAAAGCGAGGCGATGGTACCGCTCGTGTATGGATACAGGTAAAATAATAATTTCCATTCGGAGAGAATATTCATGGGAAACAATGGGATATCTAGGTCAGCGAGAAGCAGTCGGGATCAAACAACTCCGGGATATTATGGAGAATATCGGTGGTTGGCCGATAACAATGACGGATCGTCAATGGGCAGAAACTAAAGTCTCATGGCAGAATATCGATCTTTATTACGGAGGATTAACTGGTCGTCATACCTTTTATTCAATTGAAAGTGGAAAGAATTACGTTGATCTACTGCGCTATAAAATTATGGTGAGAAATTTAATGGTCTAATTAAAATCGTTGTAAATACCGATAATTAAACAGGTGACAAAGGCGTCTCTGCCATTAGCCCACAAATTACCGATAGAAAAAAAGAAGTTTGACGAGAAGGACCGAGGTGCGTACACCAAGCTCATAAAAAATGTCGCTCAGAGTTTTATTGACGCGACAAGATCTCCAATAAGTGCTAATAGAATTTCACATGATGTAAACGAAATAATCAACTTCGAAGTTAAGTTGAGTAAGGTAAATTTGAATAGTCCATGCTATTTTTCTGACGCTCATGAATGATCATTGAAGCTTGTATTGTTTGTGTTTGCAAGATTCCATTAGGGAGATTATTTCAATATCCCAGTATAGAGTACGTTACGTCCCACTATAATTATTATTTCGGAGCGAGTGAAACGGCCAAGGTAATACAACCTGATATGTTGCCTAATGAAAACTATGATGGAGTAATATTCGCTCGAAATTTAGGTGAATGTTACTGATTATATTCAACAAATCTACAATTTTGGAAACCTCACGATAGCCTCGAGTGAGATAATCAACGTGTACTACGACTACGTTAACGACTTGGGAACACTTTTGAAGGACACACCTATGCGGACTATTGGTATTGTTAATTGAAATGCATGTACAATCTCATGTGATCAGATGTAACAATTAATTTTTGATGATATCGCACAGTGAATTATGTGCATTGGCATTTTGTTAGTGATTTCATCGATGCCACTGATCGAAGGATGAATAATTATCTTCTGGAATTCAAAAGGGAGACTTATGGCATCAGGGAAAATCGACCTCTGTATGTATTTCAATGATCGATTCGTGTAATTTCTCTCTGATGCCAATTAGCTTTGTCTCCAGGTGGGAAGAATGTGTTGGAGCAATGCATCTGCATCACGCGGTGGCTCCAGAGTTCATTAAAAAATATTTTACTAATCGAGTTAAGGATGCGGTGGGTGTACAAGGTCTGGACAGACTTCATAAAATCGCTAATGAATTTTATGATTCACAGGCAGTGAAGATGATTACGTCTCTGAAGACAACGATGGAGCATGAGATTCTGGAAGCTAATTGGATAGATGATTACACGAAGAGAGTCATCATTAGGAAATTGAAGGATATAATTGCGTTAATTGGGTATCCAGAGTGGTACAGCGATGGGGAATTTATGGCGACAGCTTATTGGGACGTGAGTGCGTTCAATTCTACAGATCGTACCATTAATAAACTCAATTTGTATATTTTACAGTTGTCGATAACATCGAATTATTTAGACAACATATTCAGCTGGTGGAGGTTCATAGCTGGGAACAAAGCCAGACAGTTGAGAAGTAAAGACACACGAACCCTGTAAGACAATATTTAAACCTCAAATTGAAAATTCAGAGAATCTGGAACCATTAATTCTGTTCAAGGTGGTACGGCGATCCCGTAACTGTCAATGCGTTCTATCGGATTTTTCTCAACAATATTAGTAAGTAATTTATTATGCACTAAAAATAAATGCCTCCACCGATCCCACCGGTAATCAATATTTATCGCCAGATTTGCCAGCGGCAACGTTCCAACTGCCGTTTTTCTCGCCGGATTTGCCCGAGTGAGTGGGATTGATCATGACGAGCGTTTGAATAAAAAAAAAATCTGATAAGCCGACTGTTCTGTTTCAGCGTCGTTAATTATGCTATACTCGGGTCCATCGCCGGTCACGAAATTTCCCATGCCTTCGATCCACTGGGTAATTGGGTAAATTCCACTGAGATGTACATACAGTTTTCAAATGTATCCCTTTGCAGGTATTCAGTATGATGAAAATGGCAGGTTCAGAAGATTGAGCTCGAATTTTATGGGAAATTATATTGAAAATGCCATGTGTTTTGATGATCAATATCAAAAATACGGTAAAAATGATAGAGTGAGTCAATAATCCGTGGAGTCTTCAGTTGTATTTATCATTTTGATGCAAATTGGTAATTATTCAAAGCAATTTAATCACAGATAGGTGTAACGACTCTTCACGAGAACATAGCTGACAACCAAGGAGCTCGGGTATCTTTCGAGGCGTACAAATCGCTCCCTCAAAGACAACCCACCGAGCAAAAATTACCTGGACTCGAGGATTACTCAACCGAGCAATCATTTTTCATTCTCTTCTCCAGTGTTAGTACTGCGATTAATTCCCGAATTAATGGCTCTCGCAATTACCAACAATAAATGCTCGTTATTTCAGATATGGTGCAGCAAAGCTACCCCAGAATTTATATCAAAAAAGGCGATGGATGAGGAAGATCATCACAGTGTCCACCGTTTACGGGTCATCGGTACCCTATCAAACATGGAAGATTTTGCGAAAGCCTTCAACTGTCCAAAGGGATCACCCATGAATCCCCAGAGCAAATGCAATCTTTGGACGAGAAAAGCACGAGCGAATCACGACTTAGCGAGACGAATGTGGGGTAATTCTGGTTGATTGAGGCGAGTGATAACACTGCACTGCGTTTTATTTACATTATTTCTCCCTTTTAAAATAAGCGTTTTTAAAATAGGCCACTTATTGTAAATCACGTCACTGCCTCTTCCCAGTTGCCAAAACCAGATGGAAGAAACCATTTGAGAGCACACGAATGTAACAATCCCGAGGAAAAATTACATCTCTCAATCACGAATGAACTTATCTGTATTGAATTGCCTGAGATACGAAAACTCCAGGTTTCACCTGGTTGTACATTACTCTCCATCACGCGCATTGAATTTTCTCTTTTCTTTTGTACTTCTGTCTCATCGATACGCGTGCACTTTGGACAATGAAACAGTAAATCACTCTATCCCGCTCTCATTGCGCACCGAGAGGTACCCAAACCCCAGCAAAAAGTGTTAACTTTAATTCCCCGAGAATAAAAACACACGATTGAAGAGAGCAAATTGTGAATGAACACGAATCAGTAATAGAATCACTTCATCGCTCCCATAAAATAATATTTTCACCAAAACTCGTCGATATTAAATTATAACAGAAAACTCCCATGCATTGAATTTTGACTAGTCCCCTCCTAGAGCTCACTCTACTCCTGGTGGTATATATCGTTGTCTCTGGAGGATGGGATAGATAATTTGAAGGCAAACCAAAGTGAACGAGAAACGTTGAAATTCCGTTCGAAAGGCAATTCCATTTGGTACGAGTAGAAACGCTCCCTTGATACGCAGATGGGTAGTGATCTCGAGAATGGCTTGCCAGACCTGCTCGACTCAACGATCATGAGAGAAATTTTTAGCCGAGTTAAATGTCGAAGTGAAAATTTTGTGTATTTTCGATTCTCTGTGAAAATTTATGAAGAAAACAGTGTGCTTTTTCGTGGATAACACGAGATATTTATAAAAAATTCAACAATCCGGATGCAATAAAATCGTATGGAATTCAATGGCACTGTATACGACTATTTTCTTACTCTATTCGCAGCACGATTTCAAGGAGTCTTGCATATATAGCCAGAAGGTGCAAGCGCAAGCACCATTGGTATTAGTATGCAACCAGCGCGACAGTCCAGACGCATAACCGCAAGTATTATTCTGAAATATGATACCAAATACCATTGGCCTCCGGTTACACGCACGTCGTGCCAACGAGTTACGGTCTTCGTATTCCCCGGTTGGTCGTGTCGGTGCGATATGCCACGTTCTTCTATCCGTTCCCTCTGTCGAGTTATACCCGCAAAAAGGGTCATTTAATATTTTGTTTATTTACTCTTTTTTTTTTTCAAATCCAACAGTGCTCTCCCTTTTCTCTTTTTTCTCTCTTTTCTCATTTTTCTCTCTTTTCTCTCGCTGTCCCTCTCATTGCGAGAGTATCGCTTCAAGATCGCCTCCTCAACTGGACGATTCAGCAGGGTATACTTTGCCAGAAGGGGAATTGAGTTTATCTGAAGCACAGCGTGTGCATTGCGACCAATAAAACTAGACAGCCTCATAGATTCCAGGCCAAGGCTTCATTGTCGACATTCCCTCGAGGAGATTATATCTTGGAAGACTGACAAATTGCTGAACATCTCGATTTGTTTTTTACCCTGTCGAGTTCTTTAATGATAAATGCCCGAGAAAAAGTCAAATTATATTGGTCATTCGGGAAATAGTTATCCGAGTGGAAATTCTACTCAGCTCCTGATCAGGTACTGTTCAGACTTGTATCGCATTTTTTTTTTTAACCGCGAAATGGAGAAAATTTTTCTCCTCGTAACTAGTGCATGGAATGAGCATCAGGCCATTCAATCGTCATCATGGCACGTTGACAGTACCCAGCCATCATGTGCAGTTGTCTAATCTCCTGTTCATGAACTCTCATTCTTCCCTGAGAGCATAACAGCGAAATGCCAACTGGAGTTGAACGATGGCGAGTGTAAAAGCACTCTCATTCGGTGGCAAACACGACATTGCGTGTCGTTTTACTTATAGCACAGTGAAAACTGAACACTGCCAGCTGTAAATATCTGGGGCTGTGGGTTGGGTAAAGAACGAGGGCGTTACCGCTTACCCACCAGACATTACTCACAACCGTACCACTCGTTCGTTACACCCTCATCCTCCAAAATCCCCTCCTCCCCCACCCACAATCGACTATTTCTTCTACACTATTCACCATCACTAACCACCCTGATTACCATAAACGTTTGTTTATCACGTCTGCATTTTTACGCGAAATTATGCGTTACACCGTGCAATCGATTCTCACCACCGCGTAATGGGAATCTTTGTTATCGTGAGCCGCGTAAATAACGCGTGAATAACGCTAGCCCGTCAGGTGGAATGCGCGGCTGGAGAAAAAAAATGCAAATATGAAGAAATGCAACTCGGAAAATATGGGGAGGGCAAATAATTTCTGGTCGAGGGGGAGAATAAATTTTACCCGGTGGAATGGAGTTTTGTGGAGACTTTTCGTCCTGTTTCAGCGGTCGCCCTGGGAAATGTAATGAAACGAAATGCTTCTGGATGCGCGCATTTTGCGCTAAATCGTCGTCTGTGGGGGCAATCTCACATCACTCAGGACAACTTGAAGAAGTTGCTGTGCAGCTGCTCGTTACCCGCTGAGCAAAACGGGTAACTGCTTTTCTACGCCCTGTTTTGTTTTATTCCCGCCTCGAGGTGGGATACCAAGTTTTCGTTAAACTTTCGTGTCACGTTTGAGCGGCACGAATTCACGGGGAAATATTGTATTCGTGTTTTTGCTTTCCGGTGGAAAAAAACACGTGGCGTTATCCTACGCTCTCATAATTAATTCATTTATTTTTTTTTTATTTTCCCCCTTTTTACGGAAGGGGGAAAACTAAATTTTCGGAATTATCTCTTGCTAATTCCTATGAACAGAATTTTTTGCCGCAATTTCCGGAAAAATGGTGGTCAGGTGGAATCAACAAGTGTTTAAACTCTCAATGAACTCCCGAAAATGGCTGTCATAATGAGGAATTCCCCCCGAATTGAATCGGAATTTGAAGAGACATACCGGGAATTTAGAGGGAATCCTTTGTGGATTGAATCGAATATCTGCAGTACCTATTTAAATTATTGACGACGAAGCGAGAATTCAGGTGCCTCTTGAAATGACTAAACCTTCCATCGAGGTAACACCGTGACAATTGGCAAGACAGTGGGATTATACCAGAAGGGAAAATCAAACGAACCAGAGAAGAGAGAAGAGAATTCAAGTATGTGTACACCTGTCCCAGAGAGTGGGAATGTCGCTGACAATCTCGGGTTGGCAATTCGTATGCAACAGTTTTCGACTGGATTGTCTCGTGGAGTGCCGCCCACCGGGAATTAGTGCTACTGTCGATTGAGCGATACCGGAAATTGCAGGGTGAAACTTGAAATCGCTGTGCACCAGAGCTTTCGCCCCCTTTTACCCTGCACCACCCCCTGGCAATTTCCACCCCGTCCCCCGAGCGCTTGGCAGCAATTATCGAGCGTCCCGGTTTTATTCGCCAACGTTAAAATATATAGGGGCGAAAATCCATCGCACAGACATACACTCCCAAAGGCCACGGACAACTCGAATCAACAGAATCAACAAAAGCGAACTCGAGTGTGCCAATCACCAGGGATAACCCACACAGGGACATCCAGATAGCGTGAGTTTGCCAGAAAAAGAGAAGCCATATGAATTATTTTCAATCCCACTCCAATTTCACGATACTGCGTCAGGTACCTCTGTTTATCCCTGATGCATAAACAACGAAAAAAAAAGATGATCAAACAGAGAGCATTCATGAAATCTGAATGACTGATGGGGATTTGACAATCAGACGGATCGCCGAATCGTTGGATAATTGTTTCAGTTGCTCTTGGAAAATTGATGAGTCGTGGAGAATATTCGAGTGAATGCAGATGTACATTCTGGGGAAATAGAACTAGTGGTCAAGCAGTCACTTGGCTTTTCATTGAAATTCTTTTGAATCTGGTGGAGATCGCAGGGATCGAGAGATCCTGTCAAGAGCTTTTATGGCTTTTTAATGAAGTCTTTGACTTCTGCCTGCGGAGGGGAATTTATTGGGGCTCTGGGGATGGGGTGAATTCTCGTCTCTGGAAATGTGGTGGTTATATTGTAGCGACTATTATCGGTTATGATGATCATAATTATGGCCGGAAGCGATGTTTGCGCTTTCGTGATGGGAAAAATGAGGTCGTGGGAATGAATGGCTGCTGACAATACGTAAAAAGTGTTTTTGAGGGCTGTTCATTGTGATTTGTCGGGATAAATGGGTGGAGGGGATTCAATGGATTGCGATCGGGTTATCAATTAACGAAATGCTGATAAAGGGAAAAAGGCTCGTTATTTTTACGGGTGTGTTAACTGGAATTTAATTCAACGGTATGTCGTGATAATGTGGGGTACATAATTGGATATCATTATTTGATACATGGGTATTTGTATCAGTGGAAATTGAGTGGAGCTTAAATGTAGCTGATACCGTCGACCATGAATTTTCCTGTATTATTACAGTGATCGCTCCAAATTTTATTCAATAATAATAATAAAAATAATAGTCTGACCCATTAAAATATTCCAAAAAATATTACAAGTGAATATATTCGTGAAAATTCAAAAAAATGATAATAAAAATAATATTTTTAAATATATTACAAATAAAAGGATTGCGGTATAATTGTTCACTGCGCAGAAGAATTATATTGACAAAATATTGTTGTGATTAATTCCTTAATTATTTTTGAGGAAATATTCTGGAGTGCAGTCGATTTTTTTTGTGATTTTTTGGGGGAAATTGAATTATATGAATTCCGGGTTTAAAAAATTGAACAGATAATGAGCCTGTCGGAATCAATGAACGATATAATTGATCCACCTCAGACGGAGGATGAAGAAAGAGGTTGGGAGGGTCATCAATCATTACTGGAGATCTTTTGAATTTCGTAAAAGTACATGAATTACGTGGGGAAGCTGTCGGGACCAAAGACCCGCCTCTGTGTACCTATCATGTGAGGCAACTTTTTGCAGAGTCCCTCGTTTATATCGGCAACAGCTCCTCATTACCCTGGACCCCTCCCTGATTTTTTTTTTCGGCTTCCAGAGTCGAATGCATGTCGCGGATGCACGATAAAAACTGATGACGTGGTGAAGGCCAAGTCGGTTGTTTTCAGGAAATTACTAATGATTTTATGACACGATTAAAGGATGATAATGTATTTAAAAGAGGAGCGGATATGATGATGACACTGGTGATGAGGTATTATTTTTTTGCCCAGGGGGTTTTTAAATTGAATTTTATGGACTGTTTAGGAGTGACTTTCACGGGAGTCTCAGGGCATTTGGTGGAAAGAATATTTTTACGGATATAAAATTTAATTTCTCAGCTTCAAAACTGTCGATGAATAACTTTAATCATCAGAATCAAATATTTTTAATTCCACAATTATAATTATCAATTACAATAATTATCGAAAAAATTGTTTCAATGGAAAGATGTAGGATTTATTCATGTTTAGAACGATGAAATATTTGATTTACCAATCTAAAAATTCGCTAAAAATTGGTTTAAAAAATGGTGCCAGATTGCAAAAAAGAGAAAAAAAAAAGAATCCTCGCCCGAAGGGACTGTTTGGGTTTGAAGATCAATGGGACTGGGTTTCAAACGCGTTACGAATAGAATATAATCTAATTTTAATCGTTCACCGGTGCTTCACCATTAGCATATTCAATCTGCAAGGAAATTACTCTTGGGAAGCGTGTTTCATCTCGGTTAGACCTCAGTAAAAAAGAATATACACCAAGGGTGATCGTAGACTTGAGGATGCTTTACCGCCACCGCCGGGAGGCATGAGTACACAAGCTCCTCTCTTTTTTTTTTTTCATTTTCTTTTCTTTTAAGTGGCTCTCCGAAGGAAGT